TAACACATTTGCAATCTAGATGGTAGGTGTTGTATTTTTTTTTAACTTTTTCTACATGTTTGAATCTTTCAAAGCATTATAAAATTATACATAACCAACTGAAGTTATTAAAATTATAATAAAATTTTATCATGAAAATGTCATACTGTGTATTGAAATTTTGCCCTACATGTAGATATTAATTGATTTATATCACTTAAATTTAGTGGGTAAGAACAGAGTGCATCCTTTATAAGGACAAAGAAAGCAGTTTAAAGTAAGGCAAAATAGCAATTTATTTCTATACCACTAAAACCAAGTCTAAACATGCTTGTTAATGCTCATGCGTGTACACACACACACTTCTCTAAAAGGGCCACTTAACGTGCATAGAGGACCCCCATGTGTCATTAGTTGGAAGAACATAGCATATTTTGCCTGCCAAAACTCTGAAGGGCAAAACTTTACTAACACTGGCCTTTTTTGGGCAAAATTTCAACCAACTATAAGAAACAGGTAAACATGGCCAGAAGGGCTTCTTTTTTTCTTTTTTGTGTTTGAATTCTTGGAAACACGGCTACTTGCAGAGGAAGAAAGCAATACCCTTGACCTCACTTCTCTAAAGAGGGGCATCTTTACTTCCTGCCTTTGAAAGCTGTTTTCAGGTCGTGTTTTACTGTCCGCATTCACTGGCTCAGGGTTGTGCCTGGGTGGACTTAAGCCAGTGCATCCTTGTGGACACTCAGCTGTCAGACCGAGCAACACGAAGATCACTGGGAACTTTAGCGCCAGGGCTGATGCCCCGAGCCTCTGAATATTTATTAAGTGTCCATTTTATGTAAAGGTTATTGTACCCCAATACCAGGCCACAATTTATGGCTATAAGTTTGTGATTGTTCTTAAACAGTTCACAATCCAGGAAGAAAGATAAAAATACACAGTTTTCTTAACTCAAGGCATGCAGCTAACACAACCATGGTAGTCAAAAGCCAAACCAGTTCCTGAGACAAACTATCCCCAACCCAACTACAAGTGCCCTCTCCATCCTAAAGAGGAGTGACCTGTCCTATAGTAAGCAACTGGATAAGGAACACAGAATCCTGCCATCAGGCCAAACAAAATAATAATACTTAAAAGTCATGGAGGATCTGTGGGAAACCCTTTCACATCTGATGGGAAGACAGCGGACCTAAGAAAGCCAAGAACACATAGCGTCCAGCCAGTTTCTCAAGGAATAAGCTGCAACTATTGAAGACTCCGCTGAGTTAGGGAGAGTTAGAGAGAGATAACTAGGAGCTGTGTCTTGAACCTGAGAGTGGTTAGTGTCCTCCAAGAGACACAGCCGTGGAGCTCAGTGTGTTGGCCAGAGCAGAAAAAACCACCTTCCTGGCTCCTGTATGTCATTATATTGGTTTGTGATGCTCTCTGCCCAAGTCTTCTCCTGCTCCTCTGCCTTCAGTGACAGACAGCATAGTGACAGCTTGACACCAGCACAGCGGGAGTATTTGCACCACAGGAATTGGCATATTACAGACCAGAGCTCTTTTTCCCCAGAGGTAGAACAAAGGGGCTGGTTGTTACACATTTGCTGGATAGTCACACTCCTGGCGTTGATAACCAGACCAAATAAACTTTTAGTTTATAGGAAACCATGTTCCATGTGATGGAAATCCTTGTTTCTTGAGATAGTTTTTTTCTCAGTGTGAAGATTTTAATTTTTAGTGTTAGTCACAGCAAGATTTAGCTAAACCATTACCTTTTTGAAGAGTTTTGTTCAAACTTGGATATTTTCCTAATATTTATTATGAAATATTTCAAACATGCTGCAAATTTGAAAGAATTTTATTTTTAAAAACTTACATGTGCACCACTAAGATTCTAAAGTAAACTTAATTTGGCATTATCACACATCTGTCCTTCTGTCAATCCTCCTTAGAGAGACTTTTAAGTTGCTTGGACATGTTATTATAATTGGTATTACTATTTAGAGAATATCGTATAGTGCAGGATCTCCTGGATTAGTGTTGTAATTCTAATATAAAATGTGTCAGTCAGGAAGTACTTCACTTAGACTTTAACTGGAAACATTATGAAAACAATATTAACATATTTAGGAAAATTTAAGGTTCAGTATACAATATTAATATATTTGGTGAACTATAATTACATGAGAATTAAGGACTATCTGCTTATTATAGCATAATTTAAGATATTTAAAGCATTGCAAGCATCTGGTATCTTAAATGTGCTAATGAAACTCAACTTGTAAAACTGTACTCAAATAACTAGCATGTAGTGGCAACAAAAATTAAAAACATTCTTAAAAAGATTAAAACTTGCTAGATTTAGAAATAAAATGATACATTATATAAGTTGACCTTAACAGCTTCACAGAAACTAGGTTTTGGATTTTTGACAGTCAAATGAAAGGTCATATTTTGAAAAAACCAAGGAGACGGTACAGAAAAACTACTGTCATAGATACCAATACATAAATTAATCACTCCTAATGAATTGTCCCTTCAGGTTTCTGAAGCAGGCTTTTATAATTGAAAAGTGTCCCACAAAGCCCTGCATTAAAGGCTTGGTTGCCAGCCTGTGGAGCTATTGGGAAGTGGTGGTCCCTTTAAGAGGAAGTTGGGGGGGTGCTGTGTCCCTTTGCTTCCTGGCTGCCAGGAGGGGAGCACTTTCCTCCACCACATGACAAGCATGCACTGCCTTGTCTCAGGCCTCCAAGCAATGGAGCCAAACAGTCATGGACTGAAACCATTAAGTCTCTGAGTCCCTTTAGAAGAGATTTGTCTCAGCTACCTACTACAATCACAGGAAGCTGACTAACAAAGAAAGCAGGCAGTGGGGGCCTTCTCAACCCCACCTTTCTGGGGGAGGTTGGTTTTTGTTTTTGTGTTTTGAGACAGAGTCTCACTATGTAGCACAGCCTCGCCGTGAACTCAGCAATCCTCCTGCCTCAGCCTCTCAAGTGCTGGGATTACAGGTGTACACCACCACACCCTGATATCAACCCCATTTTCAGTATGTCTGGAGAGAGGCAGATGCTCAGGTCATGTAGATAGAGTTTGTGGAACTGAACTCCTTGCTTCTCCTGTCCCAGACTTTCAACTAGTAAAATACACTTAGTGTTGGTGAGAAGTATTAGGGTGATACCAGAAACCAAATCCAATTATATGCAGAAAGAAGTGAGCCACATCGACAGGGATGCGCGAGGAGGGTTTGCAGGCTCAAATCAGGATGAGAACTCAGTGATGGAGGGATGAACTTTCTTCCTGCATCTCCCATCTCCTCGGAGGTCCAGTTCAGTAACCCGACCTCCACCCTCTGGGCCATCCAGCACTTGGTCCTGCCGCCTCTCTCCTTGGACACCCACAAACTCATCCCCTTTATTTCCATTCCGCTGGTACTCTCCTCCCAGCTGGGCTGAGTTACAGAGATGGATGCTGCCTGGTTACCCTGCCTCCTTCCTCCAGCCTGGCAGCCCCAGGCTTCTCCAACTTGCCAGAGCAAGCCTATCACCACCTGTGTTGAGTTACATTCCTTCCACACTTGAAATTTCAAAGCCCTGATCCTTCAAGGACATGGAGGGTCTTCATCACCTCGCCTCGCCTGGGGTCTCCGCCTCCATCTGTGTCCTCCTGAACTCTACCTCACCTGCCCAGGAGCCCTCAAAGTTACCTCTTTAAAGGAGATGTTGACTTGAAGCCAGGAGGATGAGGAGGATCCAGCTCGGGGAAGCTGGGAATCAGGTCCCAGCCAAAGACAGACCAACCTGGAGACCAACTTCCCTTAAGGGTGTGCATCTCATCCTAGTAATGGAAACCTTCTCTTTGGACCTGGGTGTGTATGTTTTCTGCCAAGAATGCTCTTGCTTTTATTCTTCCAATAGGCATCTCATTGTCACCCTTCAGGACGCAGTTTGGGCAGCCATCTCTGCCCCCAGTCGCCCCTTTGCTCCTACCCTGGGCATCCTACACTTCTGTCCCGGGAGTTACACCCTCCCTCTATGCTCCATGCTCCAGGAGGTGAGAATCCATGTCTCAATTCCCAGTGCCCAGTGAAAAACCTTTGCACCTCTGCCCTGAGCCCCTTGCCTGGTCCCACCTGCCCTTGAGGGAACACAGGTAAGATTTATATGAATAGAATAGAAACAGAGCCCAGCAGGCAAGTAGAGAAGTGGCCCTGAGAGAACTGCAGCATAGGATCCTGGGACAAAAGCACACAGAGAGAAGTCTGAAGCGAGGATTTGTTTGCTCCTCCCAGCTGCCAGGATGATTTGCTGGGCCGTGACTAACCCTGGACCCTGGCGATGGGGCGGTAACTCCTCCTCAGAGCTGGCTGACAACAGGTCATATTTTCTTCTAAGAAATTTATGTCTGTTGACGCCCTAAATCCTCACGATGATTGCAGGCAGCAAATAAAATCCCTTTGGAATGGATAAGGAAGCAGAGGCACAGAAAGGTAGAGAAATTGTGCCAAGTTCACAGCCAGGAAGTGAAGAGTCCAAATACACGGCCTGTCTGACCCCGCACGCTGTGCTGTGCTGCCCTCGCTGAGGAACACTGTCCCTCTTGACCACTGGATCTACCTTGTGAGAGAACCAGGTAACAAGTAGGCAGACACCTGAACGTTTTGGGGAGTAACAGGTGCGATAAAGGAGCTACACCAGGGCTGCTTGTAGAAAGTGACCCTGCGGACCTTTCTGGATGGGGTAGCCATGGAGATTGCTCTTCAAAGGGGACATCTGAACTGAACTTGCTGATGAGAAGGAGTCAGTCACAGCGGAGCGGGGACACCATGGGAAGCCACAATTGCAAAGGCTATGACCAGCCCTGGGAGGCTGATTTCCCTTAGGATTTCACACGTCACCCTAGTAGCGAGAGTAGCTGAGTTTGGGGAAGATGTGCTGGAAGACACCCCTTCGTATGACCCCTAAAGCTGGTTGGCCACCTGGCTGCCCCCGATGACCTCGGCCCTGGATACCTTATCACAGAGCTGGACAGACTCACGTTTGGTTTGAAGCTGTGTTTCTCGGAGCATTCGGAGTCATCCTGCCAAATGTCTGTGGTGTTCTCTAGTGTCTGCCAAGTCCCCCGAGCCAGGCAGTGTCTGTAGGCCTTTCCTGGGCTCTCTGAAAGTAAACAAAACTCTAGAGGAAAGGTCAGATACACAGCCCGTTCCCCCCGGCACGCTGGAAAGCCCTTGCTCTGGCCTCAGAGCTGTGGAAAATCCCAGGGAAAGGAAAATTTCATTTCCCGCTTTGGGGAGCCCATTAGCATCCCAGCTGTCTATTTGGCATGAAAAGGAAAACATAGAAGCTTCTAGATTTCATAGCAAACAAGGATCCACCAATGTTGGCTGTGTTTACAAGTCTCCAGAGTTAGAACAGCCCCCGGTGACTCAGAGATGTTGTGACCCCAGGGAGGCACAGCTCCACTAGAAGACACCAACCTGGACTCCCATGCCTGCTCAGAGGGGAGCATCTTCCTGATGTCCAGGAAGCCTCATCAGCCAGGAGGAGGAGGAAGCAATGAGCACAAAGCAGACTGACCCAGGGCTGAACCTCCTGTGCCATCCATGTGTGCCCCCGCTGCTCAGCACATCTGTCCTGGGAGCCCCTCCCCCAAAGCCCTCCTCCTTGGAGAACCAAGGACTGGATTTGCAAAGAAGAAATGGAAATTTATTGGAATTTCCCGGCTCAGATCCCTCATATCACAGACCAACACTAGTCTTTGCTCTGACCCCAGACCTTCAGCCAGGAGAACATTTTAGAGATGAATATTCAAACTGCAATCCCAAATCCACTTATGTATCACCAAGTGCCAACACTGCGCTTCTATCTGAGTCCTGAGGTTTTGGTTTAGATAAAACAACTTATACATGAATATCTTTTATCTTAAAAGAAAAATAACATGCATGCGTGGGTTCACCACCACCGCCTTAGAGGCAGCTCTGCCTTCTCTGTGTGTACAGACTCGCCTGCTGGATCAGCAGATCATCTCTGCTTCGAAGCACACGCAGAATCTGACCACTGCTCTTGGCTTCCTGCATCTCTCCTCTTTGGAACCATCCCCTCCGCCCTGTAAGGTGCAAACGCTTCACCATCTTCCCCTCATCTGTAGGTAGCCCAGCAGCCCCAAGCTGGATCAGATGTCACCGGCATCACATCACACTTCTGCTTAAAATCATCCAAAGTCTTGAGAACAGATCAGTGTCCTTTTGCAACCTTGCACAAAGCCCTGTAAGCTCTGGCCCCAAATCTCTGTGTTCACATCTTCTGTTGCTTCTCTTCCTCTTCACCACAGCAGTCTTTGCCTCCTTTCTTTGGAACAGACCAGCCTAGGGCTTCCGCACTGATGTGTGCTCTGTCCCTCATAGGCTGAAACCTTCACCTCCCATAAACCTTTACTAAAACACCGCCTTCCCGGACTACCCAGTTTATGACGTCAACCCACTCCCCCATCCCCATCCTCCCAACCCTTCCTGCTGCTCCATCATATTTTAAATGTATCTTATCTGTATTTATGTATGATGTTTACTGATTATTGTCTATCTCTGTTTCTAGAATATGATGCCCACAAGAGAGGACATCATTTGATCTTAGTCACTAATGAAATCCACTCACTTAAAAATAATACCTAGCACACTTGTAGGTGTTTAAAAAATATTTGTTGTAAGCCAAGCACATGCCTGTAATGCTAGCACTTTGGAGGCTGAGGCAGGAGGATCACTGTGGGTTCAAATCCAGCGTAGATTACAAAGTGACTTCAGGACCAGCCTGACCTTGCCTCAAAACACAGCAAGACCCTGCCTCAAAAAAAAAAAAAAAAAAAAAATTGTTGAGTGAGTGAATGACAATAATGTCATTGACCCTTGGGAAAAGGGAAAGTCAAATTCTAGCCAGGAGAGTGCAAATAAAAGACCATGAACCGCTTTAACTGCTAAGACAGAGTCCATGCAGGTACGGGGAGGCTCCAGGAAGGTAGGGAGGGTCACTGCATTGTGGGGAGAAGCTGGAGAAATGTGCAAGAAGGGCGGAAGACTTGAGGTGAGAGTTGAAGTTTATAGGCAAAAAGATGGGGGAGACAGCCTGGCCAGAAGGGTGAGTGCTCTCTGAGTGCCAATAACCTGGTAGGTGGAGTAGTTCCCTTGCCTGGGGTGGAAAGGAAGGAGCAAAGGCTTAGCGGGCCACAGAAAGTCACACAGGCCATTTGTGATGAGAACCAGCACGTCAGATTGCCATTTTGAAAAGCTTTGCAGGGGGTGGTTAAAAGAATGCAGATCAGAGTCCAGGGGGTGCAGCTGCACCCGGACCCCATGCATGGCAGGGGGGATAGAAGGGAGGCTGAGCCAGGGGACCCAGCTGCTGACCCAGGAGGGCTGGGTGTGAGTGGGCCGGGTGGGCTGCAGGGCCGTCCTGTTCCTGAGCTGGAGAACGGGGGAGGAAGGGCTCGTTTCCTCTGCTCCATTGTCCACTTCTCTGTCCTTCAGTTTCTCATTCTTCTCATGACAAGTCTTGACCATCCTGCCTCCAATGCTGCTCTTTAATCTTTTTCCCTCTGTCTCTCAAACCCTTGTCTTCCTGCTTCCTGGCCCATGGACGTGTCTTCCTGATTCCCGTCACTTCTCAGTCTACCAGCTACAGGCTGTCGGTGTCGTCTTCCCTAACTACAAAGCACTTGTGTGCTCTGCCGTCCGCATGCCTGCCTGGCTCTGCGTGGCTTTCCTCTAAGAGGAGCCCACAGGTAACGCGGTCAGCCTCAGCCTCACGATCGGGCCTGGAGGCCAACACAGCACATAAACATCACCTGACTCCCCCCTTCTACGATCACGTTTGTTCTTTTAACTGTATCTCAAGTCACTGTTCGCCTTTTTTACTACAAAAAAATATTAGTGGCAGGGTCACTTCCCACCTCTGGCAAATCACATTCAAGTCCAGAACTCATTTTTTAAAAAACCCTTTAATTCCACTTTATTGTAGACTTGGACTTTGAACAGCTTTTTCTTCCTAAAATGAAACAGATCTGTACTTACAGCCCCTGGGAAGAAACGGATGGATGGTGGAGCTGGGAAGTGGTGGCTTATTCCGTGTGTCATTGGGGAATATGCGGACAGCTGGGGCTCTAATGACCTGAAGGAATTCAGGAGTCTCAACCTCGAACTCAGGTTCGGTGTCCACTGACACATGCCCCAGTGGCTGGATTTCTGTCCTTCTCAGTGTGAGAAGTGAGTCATTGTTCGTTTCACCTTGCATGGAGGTAGACGTGGCTTAGGAAGCCTTAGGAAGGTGCTCCAAGTTTCAAAATGTAAAGCGGAGGGGCTCAGCCTAACCTCGGGGTCCTGACTCTGCTCCTTCCAGCCCTGCAGGAGCTGTTTGCTAAATCAGTCAGACAACCCTGAGGTAGCAAGTACTCTAGCGCCTTCTGTCCTTCCCTCCACCAAAGCTCACATCCGTGTTCCACCTGGGTTTCATCAGAGGACAGTTCCACAAAATATGTCGCTAACTCTCCCACACAGAGATGTCCCTTCTCCTTCTCCTCCTCCTCCTATTCCTCCTTCTTCATCTCCCTCATCCTCAAAATATTGAAACCAGTGTACCATGGATGTGAAATATTATTGGGCCGAAATTAAGTATAAGATTAGAAGATGCCTTCTCAGAAACTCCTCCTCATCTTGTTTTACCTGGACCTTCTTAACAGCCTTCACTTCCTGAGAAGGGGCTTAGCTCTCTTTACATTTTCCCAGAGTCTTTGGTCAGAGACAACAGAATTCTAACCTATAATCTCTGCTCTCCCCATCCAGAAAAAAATGACCAAGAGGTTAGGCTTCTGTGGTCGTGGGGTGGATTATAATCCTAGGTCTCTAAGTGACAGTACTCAATTCCTTCAATCATGATTAGAGCAAGTTGAGTGCCTAAATACTTCATCTAACCCCCGGGACTTAGACACAGCAATCAGAGGTGATTCCAAGGCTGATACAAGGGACAGTTCAAAGACCTTTTTCCCAACCTAGCAAACCCAAAGTCGCATGGTATGAGACTTTCAGTCTTTCACCCGTTCTCTTAATTCTGTTGTGAACGTGATGGTTCTTAACCCCCAGAGGAGCCAGATTCTGCGGTATCCAGGTCTAGAATCTATAATCTTCAAGGTAAGATGAGCTCCTGCATAAATGGAACCCAAGGATTATAGAACTTGCAGGAGACAAGAAGATGTAAGACTAGATGGAGACCTCTGTGGGCGAGAGGACTTGGGAAAGTTACTCGGGTGGAGCTCTGCCTCCAAATAGCAAACGGCTGCTATGCTCAAGAAGAAGGCCCTTTGCGGGGAAAAAAAACTGTCAGAAACTGGTAAAATAAGATTCGTTACCTTCATTCCACCCAGGCAGGTACGAAGGGCACGGGACAGAGACGTTTCCAGGGGGTGAATGAGGCCAACACACGTACCGGTCAAATGTTCCGTTGCAAAATACACCTACAGAGGCGAGAGGGGCCAGAGTGGGATCAGGGTGTGAGCACAGCGTCCACTGGAAAAGTCAGCGGGACCTAGGAGCCCAGAGCCCACCTTCTGCTGTTGAAAGTTTGCAGAGAACCTCTGCAGAGACCTTTTCACTAGATGGCCAAGGATGAAAAATGATTTGGGAAGCACAGGAATGCAGCCCCAAACAGTGCACCTTTGTCTACCCAACGTGACCTCCAGTTGATGCATGCAATGTGCTTGTCATGGTGATTTTGCTCTAGTTTACATAACCCAAACTCTCACTGCAACTCAGGCTATGAGGACATGTGTAGGTCCAAGCAGTGCCTTCCATTCCATACTTAGCCAAATAATTGCCAAGCATTTACCAGTTGAACCCTAGAGCACACCCACCGTGAAATGAGCATAGTGGTCAGTGGACAGAAGGAGACTGCAGATCTAGGGCCTTAATCACATATACACAAGTTCTGTGCATCATGCCCGCCTATTCCAATACGAATTCAGTGGTCGCTAAGAATTATTTGTACTATCTCAAGCTCAGGGACTGGTTTATAGCTCGGTGTTTGGCGATGGCAAGCAATAAACTCAGAACTCTGCCTGGTAGGTCTCCCAAAATGAAATGGAGGTGTTGTAAACTGTGCCTCAAACTCCCATGTGGCAAGCTCCTGGGTTAATATAAACCAAGCCACATCCTCTCTGTTCTTTTTCCCCTCAACCTCTTCCTATTCAGAAATCTAGGCTTCTCAAAGGGAGCAGCCAGGTTATTGCGTGGTAGGTATGCCAGGGCAGGAGCTGGCTTGGGGGCCTCTGCCAACCTAGTGGCCAGGTGTTAGCACCTGGTCTGTGTGAGGCAGTGCTCACCTGGCCACGCCACTCACAGCCTGGCCACGAGTTTGACCTTAGAAGCAGCATTCTCTGAAAGGAGGTGGGTTCTTGTGGCACATGGCAGGACTTGATTGGCATCGGTCTGGGTCAAAGGGGTCTTTAGACAGTTCTGAGGATGACTTGAACATTGGGACTGGATGAAGGAAAGAGGACTGATGTTTCTGAAGCCTCTAGGCTCCTAAGTGAGGTGATCTGATAGGAGACAGGAGCATGAGGAGGGGGTACCCCTCAGGCTCAGTCCTCAATGCTCAGAGACAATACAGAGGCTCTCCCTCCTCCTGTGGCTCCTTCTGCTCCTCCTCCTCCTGTTCCTCCTCCTGCTCCTCCTCTTTCTTCTCCTTCTCCTTCAAGTGGGTGGGTACATGTGGTTTCACCCAGAGTCAGTATGCAGGTGAGGCTGAAGACTAACTAAACTGATATATATTTTCTAGAACATTCTAAAGTCTAAAACCTCATGGAAACTTGAAAAAGGGAAATGTTATTCCTCAGATATAGCTAACACCCTGGGAGATGAGGAGGACCTGTCTCCACAGCTTAACTAATAGCTTCCCGGGTCATTTTACAATAGTTTCTCCTGTCAGATGACTCTTGTCAAAGGAGGCTCCACCCACATACATCTTGTTCCGCATCATTCTACAGTGAAAAGTGGTGTGGGGATCTGCTTCTCTTCCTGTGAACCTACTGGACCTTCATAGCTCTCTCACCAACAGAGCATGGCGGAGGTGATGTCGTGTGACTTCTAGAGCCGGGTCATAAAAGGCAAGCTGGCCACTGGTCAGGCTGGCTGTCAGGAAGCCCAGTCCACTTGGAGAGACCATGTTCTAACCACACGACTTGACTCTCAGATCAGAGGTGATCCAAACCCAAAGAGACAGCTGTGCACAAGCCTTCTGGTGACTCCATTGCGTCAGTTTCAATCCACTAACTTTGGGGCAGCTTGTGACACAGCCCTTGATACCTACTGCATGTGCTTACCGGAAGGTTCCTTCAGCAAGTCCTGCAGACACTTCCCCTTGTAGTCAGCCCACTTCCGAGTTGTCTCCTCAAGCAGAGATCCTGTAACCTGAGCAGATACAACGCGGTCGGCCCCAGTGAGCTGCCAGCCCAGACATAGCCTGGTTATCATACACTGTGATCCTCAACCCCTTCCCATGGCAGCGCCCACAGTGGCTTGCGTTTAGAAACAGTTGCTTTGACATCCTACATGCTACAGCAAAAACACATACGAACTTTACGTTTACTCCATAATTGAAGCATACTGGTTTTGATACAAATATGAAATTTTTGTTCAAAATCTTTATATGAAGTTGACATTTCAAAAGGATGAAATACGTTTGTCTTAAATTTGCACACCTTCGACACTAGTGTTTGCACACTATGCAGATCCCAAACAGAGAAGCATCACCTAAGAGGGGCCCAGTGACCCAACTGAGAAAGGCCTGCACTCTCCAGGTGCCTGCATGTCCTAGCTAAAGCCACAGAGTGCACAGATTCTGTGCTGCTATGCCGAGGCCCTGGGTTTGGTTTGGTTTGGTTTTCGTGACATGGTTTGGTTTTTGTGACATGGACTTTTCTGTCCCACAGAATCTTGGAAACACAGCCTACACTTGGGGGACTTTTCAACTGCCTAACAATTTCTCATCGTGTATGTGCACTGCTTCTTTGGGTTTTAAAAAGGGCATCATCCTCCCACTGTTCCACTGATTAATGTTTTTGGCAGTCCAGTTGTGTAGTGGACCTTGTGTTAAGGAGGAATTGCAGAGACCCAAAGAGGAGCGTATCTCTTTCCTGTAAAGCACGAAGAGCTACTACAGATAAAGCACTTAGGTAATCAGCCGGGACACAAGGCTCAGGGCCATTCCACCCCAGGTCCTTGAAGCTCCTTGCCTGTGTGGCTGTGTCCTTGGTTTTAAGCTTTATCTTCTCTCACAAGGGATAACCAATTCAAATGTTTTCTTGGGCCAAGTAAAAACCCAAAAGAAGGGCTGGGGATTTAGGCCAGCGACATAAGCACTGGCCTGGCAGGTGCCAGGTCATGAGTTTGGAGTTTGATTCCCGGATTCCTGGTACCAAAAACAAAACAAAACAAAAAAATAAGGTAGGACAGGTCTAATCGATTATCACCATAAATAGATGTAACCATAAATAGTGGAATAACTTATAGTAACCTTATTGGAGTTATTGGGATACCTAAATGTGTCCAAATGTAATCACACACACACACACACACACACACACACACGCCGTGCCTACTGCAAAAACACACCCCATCTCTGAACCCAAGGAGGGGCCTGCTTTCCCCTCATGATTAGTCAAGCTCGCCCTCTCCCTCCTCTGCCCGGCGCAGCTGCCCTCCCAACAGCAGTAGTCCTGATGGGGTCTGAAGGCAGCGCCTTTCCACCCTTCCAAGAGAATCACACAATCAGTTTTTGGAAGAGGCCACGTGCTCCTCATTAACCAGTTTGCCCCCAAACTTCTCAGAGCACGAGACCCTTCCTGTTACCGTAACTTTTTCTGCACATTCCCAAATCGAAAGACCTAGCTACAGCCCTATTTGCCCACACAGCTCATAAATATTTATGTCTTAGCAACTGAGTGCCTGTCTGCTGAATACTGCGTAACTTCTCAAGCCTCAGAATCGGACCGGACACCACCACCATCTCCTGGTCCACGCTGACTTTCGTCTGGCACTTGCTATCTGTCACAGGCCTTCCAGAAAACCAAGCTTTTCGGGTACCACGTCATCAAGAAGAACGGAGTAGGACCTGATATGAACCCATGGCTACGTGGAGCTGGCAGTGTCTGGCAAAGCTCTACTGCATCTCTTCAGAAACTTAAAACACCCAGCGGTGCCCCTGTGGGTTCACAGTGGTGCCCACCTGAGCACATATTGGGAGCCAGGCGGAAGGCAGTGGAGAGTGACAGCGATGGTACAGGAATTGGCATTTGTCTCTTAATTTTCAATGCACTTTAAACCTCTGCTAATAATATCCGTCTTTGAGTGATGGCTCAGGAGACAAAAAGTAAGTTTATTAACGTATTGTTTAAAAAAAGAAACATCCTAGTGGGACGCTACCTGGCTCATATTATTATAAAAGCAGCAGATGGCTTAAAAACTAAGTAATAAGTTTAGGGAATCTTCGAAAATCATCGAAGTGCTAATTACAGCCTCACGGAGCTCACGGGACCTGCCCAAGGAAGAGACAACAAAGCGATCCCTAGACTAACATTTCCGTATACCTTTACTCTGTGCCACGATCATGGCTATGGGCAAAAGGCAGAAAAACTAGGCTGAAAACTACTAAATTTTTTCCCTTTTATTCTAACCAAAAAAAGGAAACTATATTGTTTTGTAGCTTTTTATTTTTCACTCAGATACAAGGTGAATATATTTCTATTTTGAAAAATACATAATTAAAACACCCTCTACTAGCAACATAATATCCGATGGATGAATGCAATCGGATTTAGATTTTATATGCTCCAGCACTGAATATCCAAGTTGTTTCCAGATGTTTCCTAATGTAAAAGATACTGTGCTGAAAATTCTCAGAGTTAAACATTTGAAAGCAGGGATTGACCTGCAGCTCAGTGGTAGGGGCCTTGCCTAGGATGCCTGAGGCCCTGGGTTTGCTCTGGAGGAAGGAAGGAAGGAAGGAAGGAAGGAAGGAAGAAAGGAAGGAAGGAAGGAAGAAAGGAAAGAAAGAAAGAAAGAAAAAGGAGAAGGATCCCTGTCTTCTTAAAAATTCTTTGAACTGCAATATCTGGGTCATAGAGTAAACCTATTTTTAAAGATTTTTGATAATGCATCACCAAACGGTTTATCCTCAATAAAAAAGTCCTTTTTTTTTCTAACTTTAAACTGTAGCCCTTTTATACTTTCCTGGGAATGTATGAAATCCACTTCTCCAAGAACTTCTTCAAAAGTTTGTATTTTTTGATGCCAAACCCACTGATAAATAACGGAAATGAACAGAGAGGGTATATATAGAAATAGCATCATTTCCTCGCTTGCATTTAGAAGCTACACTATCCCTGAGAATTTCTCATTATGTGAATTTCATGAAGACTTCCTGCCAGCGAACACGCCGCACTCATGTTCCAGGCGGAGAGAGCAGCTACGAGCAAAGTTCTTCATGGAGGGCCACGCAGAGCCTCGTAACATAAACACGTGGAGAGAGGAGATGGAGAACCGAGAGTGGGGCCATCAGAATAACAGACACACATCGCAGGACAGACCGTGCCTAGAGCTCTGAACACGCAGGCTGGTGGCAGGGGCAGGTACATAATTGATTAGAGAAATACCAGAGTCCCAAGGGCCAAGGTGTGGCTTTGTCAGCGTTGTAAGCCAGCCTGAAGCACTGCGGATGTCACCTGCCGATAGTTCCCAAGAGTGCTCGGGAAAGCAGGACGCAGGACTTCACCCCACGGGAGATACCGCGGCTCCCTGATCACGAGCTACATGCTGGAAGGCAACTGGAAGCTTATTTCTCCATCAAAAAAATGGGCTCAGCAGTAACGCTGTTCTCAGGAGCTTGTTGTGAGGGCTGAGAGTGATAATGTGTGAGGCATCAGTTGATGTCACGGGCCACAGGGGTGCTAGGCATGTGACAAACAACCCAGCCAGGTTTGGAGACAGAAGGTCAGAAAACCGGGTTGTTAACCGGATCTGTTTATTTCTCATAGGAGATTTTCAGAGAATGGAACCAGAGTGAGAGGGCTGTGTCACCTCTTCCAGGATCCAGGACACCACCACCAACGATGCTGTCCTGGGGCTGGAGACGGATCAGGTCCACTGCCCTGATGGATGCTCAGGTCGCTTAGCAAGAGGATGCCACCATGGCCAGAACTCTATGAAACCAAGCACTGGCTCACACTGACAACCCACAAGCATGTGGGGGGCTGTGGACACAGAGAACCCAACACAGTCTTCTGCCTGACTTGTTCTGAGCTGGCAGTAAAGGAAGTCTAACAGAGACATAGGCGAGGGATCTGGTCCCACCGTCCTCTCTCTGTGCAGCAGAGACAATTTCAAATCCCAAAGCTACAAACAGGAACCATCCCTGCCCCAGGAATGAAACAGCAGAGCTGTCCCTAAACACACTTTCTTTATTCACACAAATGCAGCTGTGGTGCCTTCTTACCAGAGCCTCACACAAAACCAGGTCCTTAAATAAGAAAAAGGTGAAGATCGACCCTCCTTGGATAAGAATGAGGCAAGTGACCAGAAAGTCCAACTGTAGAGGGCAGCTAGATATACCTACTACGTCCTGACCGCTGCAGCTCCGTGTCATAGCCGTGATGTTATCCACATCCCTATATTCAATTTACCCATCTATAAAATAGTCAGGAAGACAGGGCTGCTGACGGTGCGCATGCCAGGCAGGTGCTAAGGTGTTCACGCCGTTAGTGTGTTTCATCATGTAAAATGCAAACTACTATGTATGCTATGTAATAATATTTATGTGGTGAGCCTATGTTTATTGTTTTAAATTTTATGCAAAAGAATACAAAAGTCTGGCTGCAGAAGTCCCCACATGTGAACAAGGGTAATCTCCGGCACTTGCAATCATTGGATTTTGTAGTTTATACTCTGTTAGATTTTGTAGGTCTTTTAAAATAGTGAGCGTTGGATATTTTTGTGATAATCAGAAAGTAAGCAAGCAAAGGAGGAGAGAAATGAAAAGAAAAGGTAGAGAAAATAATTCCTTCGGCTTGAGTAGAAGCAGCAATTTTAAAAGCAGTTTTGCGTTTACACTGTCGTGGGAAAATGCTTACACTGTGATGTAAAGGGGAAAGCAGGATATAAAACAGTTTACACTTCATTTCAGCTGCGCGGAAAAATGCATAGAAAAAAGATTTAAGAACAATATGCCAAAATAGTAACAGCGATTGCCCCCGGGCGTTAGGGTTGTGGCTGATCATTATTTCCTTAATACTATTTTCTATTTTCCAATTTGCATACCGGGAGCTTAAATTGCTCCTATAATCAGAAAATATAAATAACTGGCAACATACATGATAAGAATAAAGAATAAAGAATTTCTCTTACTTGCTTGATGGAAACCAGCAGCACTAGGGCAAGGAAGGACCTCCCGGGAGCCCAGAGCAAGCGCGTCCTGTGGGGGCAGAGAGGCCGGGTCCCCCAGGAAGCAGGGGTGTCCATACACAGCACCCAGGCCCTGGGCCAGGGTCCCTTGTTGCTTGGCCCAGGCCTCGGCTGGTGCAAATGGGGCCTCATCCTCCTGGGCACTTTCATAAGCGTGGGCACACCCCTCCAGCGCTCCGAGATGGACCACAGGCAGCCTGGTCGTGCATTCTTCTTCTTCCAGAGAGGAAGTGTTTGTACAAATCTTCTGCACGCTGCCAGGAGTCTAGGGGGAACAAGTGAGTCTCCCGGTTTCTCATCCCCCGCCCGCCTGCCCCACCCCGCAAAGGCAGAGAAATTTTTCCCAGACCTTCCCCAAGTCCCCAGAACTGCCTCAGCAGGCCCAAAAGAAAGACAGGACAGCCAGTGTGACGCCCTGAAGGTTCTGCTCAGTGCACAGGGCAGGAGTGAGACCGGCTGGGGTTCAAGCTGCCCGGGAACATCTGGTGGGGAGTGCAGACCCCCGAGTACTCAGGAGGCAGAGGCTTTGCACGGGGACAAGATGGCTTTCTCAGGCCTGAAGGTGGTCCAGGATGGGCTGAGACCAGCCACCCGGGCAGGACCACTTCTGAGCCTTGGTTACACACACAAAATAGGAGGAGCAGTTGCCCAGGCGGAGCTCAGCATTTTCTGAAACCCAAGCAGAGATGAAGATTCTCTTCACACCACAGCGGAGCAAGGCACTGATGTTCCCAGCATCTGTCTGCCTGATGCCCACGCGCTGGACGCAGCACTGTGTCCCGCTGGCAGTGTCTTGCAGCCCGCCTGGAGGTCCTTTTATGGAATTCATCATCCATCCCCTACTAACCTACATATGCACCCGTACCTCCTCACCCCAATTCATGTCTGCAAAATCTTTCCCTCCACTACTCCACTTCATTAAGGAATGCTCCATCTGACAGCTGAACGACACCGAGGTTCACAGAGGTTATTTTGCTTGTGCAAAGGCACACAGAAAGTCAATGGTAGAGGCCGGGTGGCTAGGTCTTCCGAACCGTGCACTGCTATAGGGGAAGGTCCCGTTTCCTGCGCTTAGCTCTGGCTGTCTAGGAGGCTCATGGCTTGTCCCGGAAAGGCTCTGCTCTCACCCTCCTCTCCCTGGCCAGCTTTAGCATCCCTTCCAGCCTCACAGACTGGAAGCCTTTGGGATGGTGCTTTGATGGGATAAAACGTGTCAGGGAGAGGCAGGGAGAAAGTGATGGGCTCCACTCGACTGGATATGACTGTAAGACCATTCTATAACCGCACATGGAGGATGAGTCTCTGCTGGGCGTGGTGGCACACACCTGTAATCTCAGCACTGGGGAGGCTGAGGCAGGAGGGTTGCTGTGAATTCAAGGACAGCCTCGGCTACACAGTAAGTTGAAGGCCAACTAAACTGCGTAGCAAGACCCTATCTCAAAAGGACCAATAGAGGAAAAGCGTCTGCTCTGTCTGACTTTCTGTCTCTTTTTGAACTTTTTCTCAGTAATTTTGTTTTCTCAGGGGTCAGAGGCTGGGTCCACGCATGAGTCCACTTCTTGAGTGGGTAGATGCCATCTAGTGACAAAACGTGGTAAAACATCTTGCCCTAGGACCTGAGTGCCAACCAGGACACAAACACACCAGTTTGTAAGGTTGTTCAGAGGATGGAACAGGAGTTCTCAGGCTTCCCCAGCAGGAAGTGCACCAGGCAGAGTGTGATTAGTCCAATGGCCACTGTTCTTTACTCCTACCTGGCAGACAGATCCTCAGTGATAGCTGGGGTCTTCAGGAGCTGTCTCACAGGAAATGAAGAAGCTGTGTGTTTCACATGCCCTGCTTTTATTCCATTCTTTCCAGACCTGAGGCTTATTAATTCCTTGCATAACTTTTTGCTTTTCCTGGAGTTCCTGACTGTCTTTGCTTTTCTCATCCTCCTAGCTTAAAAAAAAAAAAAGTTCTGATTGAAAGGTAAATGAGACCATAACCCACGCAAAGACAATGGAGACACTCTGCCACGAAGAAGTTTATTTGGCACAGGGGAGGGGTTGCCTCCTGGACAGAGAGCGACCCCGAAGGGAGAGAGTCATGGGCTTATAAGCCCGAAAACCACAGTGAGGGGACTGGGTGCGTGGGCCAGGACAGCTTTCCAGGGGAGCACAATAGGTACATTTTGGGGTGGAGTTGTGAAAACCAGGACTATCTCTGTGGGCACTGGAGTTCTCGGGAAAGTACGCAGGGTCTTTGTGGTCCATGCTGCCAACGTCTTTGTGGCTGGTTTTGGCTTTTGTGCTAAAGCTTGCAGGGGTAGTTAGACTGCATCCTTCTTTAACGCCCTCCCCCTCCCACCCAGAAGCTCGGTATCCTTTCACTGATAACTAAGTAAAAGGCGGTAAGAAAGAACCTCTGAAATAGTCCAAATCACTCATTAACATCAGCAAAGAGGTGGCCTTGAAGAGGCAGTACCAAGTCTAACCTGCTCATCTATCCAGAGCTCTTTACACCAGCAACGCTGCTCCTGTCAGCGGCCCCTGTGGGGAAGCATGCATGCTGGTGCAGAGGGCTCTGTCTGCCAGCCTTTGAGCTCCCAGGATGGCACTGAACTCTGCACCTAAGTAAAGTCCATACCCTCCCCCACCCCCACACACACTTAGACCCTGAGGGACCCAGAGCTGGAACAAGCTGCTGTCTTGGGGTCTGCACATAACGAGGCCTCAGGGTCCCTTGTTTCTAGAATCTGACACTGAAGATCCTGCTCAATGCCAAAGGCAGGGATGGAGCCAACTTACCTGGACAGGCATACAAACAGCCCCTGGCCCTTGGTCAAGGCAGGAGCATTGCAAGTTCGAGCCTAGCCCAGGCAAGTTAGTGAGACCATGTCTCAAAATAAAAAGATAAGAAGATATAAGGAGGTGGCTCAGGGTGCAGTGCTTACCTCGTGTGTGTGAACAAGAATAACAGAATGCATACATGCATGCTCATGTGCATGTGCACGTGTGTGCGTGTGTGCACGCGCACACACACACACACATGCGCGCGTGCGCGCGTGCGCGAGGAAAAAATCTCAGAGCCCTCCACAGTAGCCAGACAGAACCAACCCAAGGTCCATAGATGGATAAATGGATAAGCAAAAGATGATACAATAAACATCGTGGAATACTGTTCTGCCTTCAGGAGAGAATGTACAACACTCTATCCTACGATGGCATTTGGGGACATTGTGCTGCATGACATAAGCCAATCTCACTTCTGTGAGGTCAGTAGTAGTTAAATTCAGAGAAACAGAAAGGAAAGCGGTGGCCGTTTTGCAAGAAAAATAAAAGAGTCCTGGAGATGGACGGAGGTGATGGCTGCCCAGCACCGTGAATGTGCTTAAGTAATAGAACCAAACTGGACACTTAAAAATAGCTAAAGTGGTCAGTTCTCTGTTATGCGTATTTTACTACAAATTTAAAAAATAAATCAATGCCCCCTCAACCACCTCCCCAGCGGGGGAGGACTGAACAGCCAGCGCTGTGGACAGGAACGTGCTCCAGCTGTGTCTCTTCCTGTCTCTCGTGGATGTGGCAACACCCAAAGACATTGGGATTCCGCAGGGGGATGTGCGGAGTCTAAGTCAGGATGCCAGATGGCGGAGATGAGGAGCAGGACCACAGCTCGTCCTGCTACTGTGCACCTCGTTCAGCCAAGGACAGGGCCAGGCACTGGGGAGCGCTGAGCCTCCTCCCCATCTAGCTGGCTTGTAGCCTGGGCAGCAGCCATGTGGCCATGCCTCTGTGCCAGGACTCGCTGGGAGAGCTGAATTGCATTCACCTGAGCCAGGCCGGGGCGGCGGTGGAAATCAGGCTGAGGAGAGCCAAGCTGTCCAGTGCATTCGGGAGATTGGGGACAACAAGCACTTCCAGAGAAGGTCCCATCCGAGCTCTGGGAGTCCTGCGAGGAGAGCGTCAATGGTGCAGGTGAGCTCATCCACAGGTGCTGGGGTGGCAGGTGCAGTCTGGTGGCCATGAACAAGGACTCTGGAGCTGGACCATCAGTTCTCGAAGCCCAGCTCTGCCAGAAACTGTGTCCCCAGTCCCTTCACTTCTGAGCCTCCGTTTTCTTGTTTCTAAAATGCAAACCCAGTGGTGCTTACCTGCTACTGATATTGCAAAGATCAAACGACTAGACTGCAAGACTCCCTGACACCTGTGTTCATATAACATTAGCTTTTACCCGCTGTCATTGTCATCCAATCCCTAGAGAATCAAAGGTGAAATCAATCAAATTCTGAGCTATGTCCCTGGCTTTTCTCTTTCACTTTAAAGGAGGTCTTGAAACCATGGTTCTTTTTTAAAAATAGACTTTTACTATCCCCCCAGAGCTCCTACCCCATCTACAAGCATGAACCTTAATCAATTCCATGCGTACTTCAGAGAATCCTTGAAATAACTGTGCAAAGTAGATGTATTTTATCAGCTCATGAACGAGAAAACTGAGGCTCAGAGCGATTCTGCTTGAGCAGCTCCCTAGCTGGTTCCCGTTCCCCCTGTAAGATTCAGTCCAATTCACTGACGTCTTTTGAAATTCTGTTGGCCTGAGGGTAAAGGGTGGTGGAAGAAAAGAAAGACCACAGTGAAGTGGCAGGGAAGGGTTAGTATTGGAGCACATCATTGAAAAAACGAGTGAGTTTTTATTGTTTTGTTTTGTTTTGAGACAGGGTCTCCACGTACTGCATGCTGGCCTTGAATTTGCCATCCTCCTGCCTCAGCCTGCCCAGTGCTAGGATTACAGGCTTGTGCCACCACACCCAGCTGGAAAAGAGTATTTTTAACCCCCCAAGAACTAAAGAGGGAAGCACTAGGGCCCCCCAATATTCGGTAGGCTGTAAGCCCTGCTCTGAATTACATTTTTACCTTGTAGATAATACACTAATGCCACCCACACTAGAGAATGGATGGAAAGCGCTCTTTCAGAAACTACAGGACTAGGAATGCAGCTCAGTGGTACAGCAATTGCCTAGCACGCAGGAGGCCTTGAATTTGAACCTCAGCACTGCAAACATAAAAGGAAAATATTAGCAAGTCAAATGCCTTTAAGAAGCTGAAGTGAAAGAAGACCCAGCTGGGATTGACAATGACCTTAAAACTTCACACCGGGCTGACGGGGAGACTGCTGATTTCAGCTCATCCTTGCAACTGTGAGCTCACTGTAGTCGGATCTGACTCTTCAAAGGAATCTGAATTTTTTAAGTGAAATTTCCCAATTTTAAAATCTCTTTAAAACATTGTATAAACCAAAGAAAGTTTTTTTTTTTTTTTTTCACCAGAATGTAGCCTGGGAGCCCCCTGTTGGAGAACACACCTCACCAACATCTCCTGTGTAGTCTAATTTATTGCAAAGGTCTGCAGGGTGTGAGGCATAAGAAAGAAAAAGCCAGGCCAGAGGTATAGGGAAGGAGCCCAAACAGGGCCAGGAGAGGGTCAGCAGGGGCGCAGAGAGCTCGGTTTTGCTATCAGTAAGGACACCAGTCTGCAAAAGGTACTCCGGCCCTAAACAAATCCAGGAAAGAGATTTCTGGTGTCCAGCATCCTGTGCTTTGCTACCCCGTGGCACTTGTTGTGAATTCTCCTTCAGAATCAGCCCGCTCTCCCAGGAATCCCTTACCTGAAATGCTATTTCTGGCATCTCCAGTAGTTCTTCCCAAAGCCTAAAGGGAGCCCCCTCACTTCTCCTCCCACACTCTGAAATAAAGATTTGAAATGAAATAAAATGAAATGGTGAGGGCAGTGCTTAGGTGTTCCTTTTCTTAGCCAGTCCATTTATCAACAAAATGTGATTTTTAGATTCTTTATTTTCTGCAAAGCTCAAAAAATTCAAGGAGAAAAGGATGTGAGCAGCCCACGCGGGGTGCATGGGTTACGGGGGGGGGGGGGATGGATGAGCAGACAGGGACGGCAGAGTTAAGTGCCCAGGACTCGGACACCACATCTCGGGCCGGCCTGCTGTGCCACTTGCCAGCAAGGGACTGCCAAGCTATGTGACACCCGCCTCTCTGACTTTGTGGGATTTATAAAGATTTTTCCTTTTAATCCTGCGAGCTTTATTCAAAATGAACATCATTTCTGAGGATTCATGTTAATCAAGGGGTCACTGTGGGTTGAGTCTTTGGGCCCAAGCTAATCTCACCCTTCTAAGCTATTGGGAATTCTCTTAATCTGCTTAGCTGGCCACCACGCTCTCCCTGTTCCCTGCCCCTGGCTCTGATTCCGGCTGCTTTGTTCTGTTGGAAAAGGTACCTCTTTTCTGAAGGCAAGAGACCCTCACTCCCTGCTACGGTTTGGAACCCCCCAAGCGTTGTGGGCTGGAAGCTTTGTCTCCAGCGTGGTGGTGTTAGGGGGGCTGAATCTTTGAAACGTGGGGCCTAATGAAGAATGATTAGGTCATGGGGGAGCCATGCTAGGAATGGATTAATGGGGCCCTAGTTAATCTGCAGGAGAGCAGGTTCTTATAAAAAGTAAACCTGGCTCTTGAATCATTCATACTTCCCACCTGGCCATGTATGCACTGTCCCCATGGCACCATCTACCATGTTGTCCAAATAGCTGCAATACCCTCACAGAGCTGAACAGAAGCCAACATCACCCTCTTGAGTTGTGAGCTAAACAAGCCTTTTTTCTTTAGAAAAGACACAGCCTTGTGTATTTTATTATAGCAAAAGAAAACAGACTAATACACCCCTCCATACAGAGACAGTAGGCAATGATACAGAAAAACGTGCTGAGTCTCAGGTAGGAACACTTCACTTTCAATTCCTGTCTCTACCAACTTGTTTGAACCTGATCTCCAAGACTGTGAAATAGAAATACTTGTACTTGCCTTTAAGTAAATAACTAAACACACAAAAATCTGTGCTGCTCATACCTAGTACGTGCATATGTACACACACACACACACACACACACGTACCTCAACTCCTTTTCTTCCACATCAAGAAATTATGATGGGGGGCTGGGGATTTAGCTCAGTGGCATAAGCACCTGCCTTGCAAGCAGGCGGTCATGAGTTCGATCCCCGGTACCGGTAAAAAGGAAAAAGACAAAAGAAAAAAATATGATGGAATGTAAGACACCAGGCCTCTTACAAACGAAGGGTCTTAGTCAGGGGATACAGCTTAGTGGCACAGACCTGCCTGGCAAGCATGAGGTCGAGAATTTGATTCCTGGTAGCAAACATCTCAGGGTCTCAGTAAACAAACATGTTTATATGTCTGCCTTAGCTCCAAAAAATTACAAATGTTGACACTTTAATCAGAAAAAACCTATTTGAGACTCATATCATGATGAACACTGTATCACGAGCTATAAGCCTGGGTCTAAGGCTGTCAGTATCAGCTTGGATGGGCTCAGATATGCTACAGTAATAATAATAACAAGAAACCCCCAATCAGCAATGTATTTCTAGCTCACTTCCTATTTACCTCTCACTTTATCAGGGGGTGTCCTTACTGCACCTGTTCAGGAACCCAGGCTGGTGGAGACATCATACCAACATGAGCTTCTGTAGTGACAGAGACATGGGAACAAGAACCGGGTGAACAGTGCACTGGCTCTTAAAGCTTCCGACCAAGTTACCCACCCTGCTCTAGTTCCCAATTCACTAATGGTCAGATTGCCAAGCCGGGTTGTATTAGTCAGCTTCTTTCCACTGCAACAAAAATACTTGACATAAACAACTTAAAAGAGGAAAGATTAATTTTGGCTGACAGTTTCAGAGGTTTGCATGCCTGGATCCACTGTTTTTATTTGTTGGTGGTGGTGGTGGTGGTACCGAACTCAGGACCTTGCTGTTGCCAGACAGGCACTAATGCCTCTGAGCTATGCCCCCAGCCCCTGACTCCATTGTTTTTAAGCATGTGGCAAAGCAAAAATATCGTGGTGGGAGGACAGGGCAGAAAATGCTGCTCACCTCAAGGCAGTCAGGAGGCAGAGAAAGTTGGAAAGAGCCAGAACCAGAGGAAGGAGCTACCCTCGCAGGCCACACCCACAATGAGCTAATTTCCCTAGCCACGCCCTGTCTCTAACAGCACACTGTAATTCATCAAGGGTTAACCCACTCTAACCCGCGTGACCAAATCACCTTCCTAAACTTCACCTCTGTACACACGGAACTTTGTGGGGATGCTTTCACCCAAATCATAACAAGGAGCTCAACCAGGCAGATAGATGCATCACGCCCCAAGGAGGAGGAGCATAAACACAGTCTCCCACTGTCCCCTTTCCTTATCCTGAGTGGACTGTGATGCAGTTAAGAAGCCAGAGACCCCACCTTCTCCCTTAGTGTCAAACTTAACCCTACTTTAGGCCATGTTACTTATCTTTTAGGGGAACAATATAGGGGTTTCCAGAGTATGATACCAGCTGAGGAACAAGGTAAATCCTTTACTTTTATTTTTTATTATTTTACTTTATTATTTATTGGGTGGAAAGATAAGACAGTTGTTATAGAGCCCTTTCCCGTCCTCGATGTGATTCGGGGAGTCTATAGTTGTAATCTCATGGAAATGTTATTGGAATCCTGGCAAATTAATTCTAATCTATCACATGAACACACTAAGACATATTTATAGTTAAGGGCAGACTAGGTCCAGACTAGGTAAGGGTTCAACCCAAGACCTAACCTGGTTTTTATGGTAAAGGATGAGTGGCTGAGAATGGCAGGAATTTCATGGGTGCTGTAGCTGGGCTGGCTAGGAGGCCAGAAAGCGCCTCCATAATAGGCAGACAGGGGATATGCGGAAAGATCCGTCTGCATAATGCAATTCGGGAGCATTTAATGTTTAGAAGGTTGGTGCTTCAGTTTCTGATATGCGAACCATTTCTGCCCTGGGAAATCATAGCCTCTTATCTTGAGGCTAAAACCCAGTTGACAGCCGTGGAGGTGTGTGGCTCTGCCATCCTGCTGTGCTCAACCACTTAGAGGGAGACACTGAGGCAAAGAGACAGAAATTGGTTGTCGTCTGGCTTCAAAAATTATGCATCAGCACCTCAGCTAGTCTTATTTGCAATTGCTTAGAGCCAACTAAAGGAGAAAAGAAATAGCTTAGCCAGGTCTGTACATATCAGTACATGGAGACAGGGCGCGATTAGCCAGAGTGGAGGTAATTGCTCTGTATTCAAAGAGAGCTATCTAGGTGGTTTCCAAAGTTATTTGTATTTTCCCCTGAAGTCAAGTCCAAAATCCAGGACCACAGGCTCTCAGCATATCCCTGTAGCCCTGTTGTACTGACAAATGTTAAAGCCCACCTTGCATGGGGAAGGGGGAGCCCTAATTGATACCATTTACTTGCTATGCTGTAAATAATACCGTCATGGCCAATTTGAAACTAATACAAGACATATATAAGAAACTAATACAAAACATATATAAGAAAACTGTGTCTTAGACCCTTTCCCATAACTGAGACACAGCACTTGATACTTCTAACTTGAAGGAGGAGAAGTTAATTTTGCTCTGTATTTTAGACCTCAGTTGGTCAGCTCCAGGGCAGAATGTCATAGAAGCAGAGTCTGGGCTAGGAGAGCTGCTCACATCATGGAGCTGGGGAGAGAGCCTGAAAGGAGCCAGCCAGGAGATGTACCCTTCCAGGTCACATGCTCAGTGACACGCCCTTCCCAGCCAGGCCCTGCTGTAGTGCCCCCACGCGCCCATCACCTCTCAAATGCCCTGCTTCTGAGTGCATGAGACTTTGGGAGTAGGCGTTTGTATATAAACCATCACAGACCAGATTAGGGTACCATGGCTTAGCGTACTTTATCTGCTTTATATCTCTCATTAAAGTTGTAATTACCTTTTTAGTATCTGTTTGCCAGCTGGAATAGAGGTTTTTGCAAAAGCATAATAGATCATATTGGTGTCACTCACTGCTATGTCCCCTCCCCTAACCTGACTCATGTTTGGCTTTTGTAAGTGTGAGTTTCCCTTCCCACCCCCTTTACCCACCCCACTCATGTCCAGTGTGGGTCCTGAAAACCACAGGCAGGAGCCCACCGGATGAGGAACAAGCAGCCCGCACAGACACAACTAGGGTTTCGGGGCTTCTAAATGGGGCTCTTCTGTCCTGGTTTTAAGTTTGTGTATCTTCTTAAGAACACAGAGACAGTGTTTTCTGAGGGAATCAAAACAACATATTTCCTTGTGACCTGCGAGTGGGGACACCTAGAATTTCTGATGTCCTCATATTAGGATTTTGCCCAGTTTTTTTCCATCCCAACTATGGGCAGTTTGTACAAACATCTCCTTCGGGCCCTTGGAGCCTGACCTTCCAGGATGCAGCAGAGGCATCTATGATTTTTATTTCAAGGCGTTTGCTTTTTGGTGTTTGCTGTGCGAGCCACTATGGTTCAGTACGATCTGAGTGTCTGCCAGGAGTTTGTGTTTTGGAAGTCTGGTCCCCTATGCAGCAATACGGGCAGGTGGTAAAGAACCTTTAAGAGGTGCTGAATGCCAGCATGTGTTAAGGCCACGGGGGTCCTGCACTCCAAAGGGATTAGTGTAGTCCTCATGTGACTCTGAGTTAGTACTTGTGAGAGGTCTTGTAAATGAGCAAGCCCGGCCTGGCCCTGTCTTTCTCTCTAACTTTCTGTATCACCCTGTGTCCCTCTGTCCCATGTATAGGGGGTGATGATGCCACCCACCATGATGCATCTAAGGGTGATTTCACAAGAACCAGTGATATACTCTTTGGACATTCAGCCTCCAAAATTGGGAGCTAAATCAACCTTTTTTCTTTATAAACCACACTGTTGTGGTACTTTGCTACAGTTACAACAAATGAACTAATTTAGATGTAAACAGAATCAAATGATTAAGCCTGCCAGTACTCCTGAATTCCAAATGCCCAACATTTGTTTCCTTTGGCAGGTATGTTGTGGCTCTCCATCGGGGCGGAGGTCCTGGATATTTTTCTGATACTGACAAGTGCCATCCTGCTGGGCTCTAGAGGGAGTTGTCATAGCTGTGGGTTCACCTGCCTCTGTATCCATCCTTATGATCCTCCGGGCACTTCCTGGCAGTGTCGTTAGAACCTGCAGACTCCCCACTGCCTGCCCCAGGGGGAGCACAGAGCTTCAGGCTGCTGCATGCACTGACAAAGACCAGGCTGGCTTCCTCCTGTCAGTGGTCAGGTCATCGGACAGCATCCCCTGCAAAGCCCCAGAATTAATGACATCGGGTGCAAATAATGTTGCTTCAGGTGACTGTAAAAGGAAGATCGAGAATAAAATCCATCAGTATATCTTTGTCCCAACCAGGGACAGGGTGTTCTGCCCCTGGGAACAGAAATCTCATTTAGCGAAATAGTTTCAGCATGAATCTTGGAGGAAGCCTACCAGGCTGGGATTTGTGTGGCCCTGAGCTAGCTGCTTAACTCCAAGCACATCCTCTCCATGATCCTCCTCTTTCTAGCTGTCTGTTCAGTTTCAACTGCAGGAATAAATTGCCAGGTGAACCATATAAGGATGTGCAGGTACAGATGTATCATAAGGACTTGCAGAAGCTAGAGAACTGACATCGTTCTCGCAAGGAACGGTAAGTCTTCTGCTGTGCTGCTCATGCTTAAGTGTGGCTCACAAAGCTTTCCTAGGGCAGGGATCCTAGATGTGGCGGCTCACATGAGGTACACAACTATTTTTCAAATCACTGTGAACCTGGGATCAGACGATTGGAAGCCTCAGACGTGGAACTCTGGATGGTCATATTGGTAAGTTGCTTGGTCATGGTATTCCAACCCTGGTGAACCAGCAGAGAGGCACATAGTTTTTGTAGGACCACTAACATTGGTCATTGTGCTGACACCTGCTACTCTTGTGACTTTGGGTAAGCTTCTTTACTTTCTGTAAAGCATCTGTAAGTAATGTTACCTGCCTGGAGTCTTTTTATAGGAATTTAAAGAGGTTAAAATGTTTAGTACACATTAAAGTCCTCAAGAAATGGAGACATCATTGTCCCATACAATTAACCTACTAAATTTATTGCTCCCACATTTTGTGGGAGCACATCCTCCAACAAACCCCTAAGAAAGGATTCAATGTTAGAACAGTTATGTTATTCCTTATATATCTGGAAATGCATTTATTCAGTGATCCATATGATCATTTTCAGAGCACAGAAATCTTCGTTGGAAATCATTCCCCTTAGAAATTTGAACCCAGCATGGTAGCATGCGCCTGTAATTCCAACACTTGGGAGGCTGAGGCAGGAGAATCACCAGGAGTTCAAAGCCTGACTGGGGTATATAATGAGTTCAAGGCCAACTCAAACTACCTGGCAAGATATTGTCTCAGAAAAAAAGAAAGACAGACAGACAGACAGAAAGAAAGAAAGAAAGAAAGAAAGAAAGAAAGAAAAAGAGGGAGAGAGAAAGAGAAGCTTCTAGGTGATATGGCATATGCCTATATGCCTGTAATCCCAGGACTCTGGAAAGCTGAGGCAAAAAGTTTGCAAGTTCAAGTCTAGTCTTGGGCCACTTAGCAATTTAGTAAGACTTTCTCTCAAAAAAATCCATAAAAAAAAAACAGTCACGAAAGGGTCTCAGTGCAAAAGCCCCAATACTGAAAAATAATTGAAGACCCTGCTGTTTTCTTATAGCATTTATTTTTACTGTCGAAAGTCCACCGCCATCTGACTCCTGTGTCCCTGTGGGTGGTTTGTTCTTCCCTTCTGAATGTCAGGGTGAGGGTCCTCGGTGGGAGTTTGCCTCCCCTTCTGTTCATTCTTTCCTGTGCTCGCTGGGCCCTTCTGAATATTCACGTCCTAGAACTATGGATATTTTTCTTGTGTTATTTCTTGGATTATTTCCCCTCCTCCATGTTCTGTTCTGTTTTAGAAAATTCTTGTTAGTTAGGTCTTGGGTCTCTTTGGTTAATTAATGAAATATCTTATTGCTTTCCTTATATTTTATATCTCTTTCTCCTTTGTTATACTTTCTGAAAAATTTCCTCTGTTTGGCTCCTAACTTTTCAGTTGAATTATTTAGGGCCTTATTTTAAATCCCCAAAGCCTTTCCTTGTGTTCCAATTATTCTTTTGTTTACAGGATTCTGATCTTTCTTTGTAGATGAAGCATCTTCGTGTGCTTCTGAAGGTGCTGACTGAAGAGCTGCTGTGTTGTTGTTGATGGTTTTGTTTCTTCTGTTCTCTTTTGCCTTTAAAATTCTTCTATTTATTTTTTTCTTCTCTGTATGTGGTTGGGCCATTCTTCCTGATGTTGGTGCCCTTGATTGCCAGCTCATAATTAAAGATAACTGGAAATTCTTGACTGAAGTTGCAATTTACCTGCTGATGGGCCCTTCCTGAATGTGATTAGGTATAGAGCCGGCAGTTTTATTTGGGAATTCCACCCCACAAACACCCACACATGTTCATTTGTGAAGGTTCCTTCTCTACAATCACTCAGTGTCTCCCAGATTTGTAGAAAGGGGGGTGAGTGTTTATATCAGGCTAGTGATTTCTTTTTCTCTTTCTCTTTTTTCTTAATCGATTTTATCTTAAAGAGAAAAAAAAATTTCAAAACACAACACACAGGGTGCACTGTCATTCCCAAATCAGTCACCCAGAGCACAAGACATCTGCATTCAATTATCCGAACAATACAGGCACCAATCTTTTTCCTTATTGAACTCTGGGCTAGTGATTTCTGAGGTTAACCCTAAGACAGGGCTCACAAAGCTTGCTGTTCCAAATGCAATTTTCACGAACTTCCTGTCTTCAGACCAGGTTTTCCCTGCCTTCCACGGGGCCTGGAGACTCTGAATTTAGAGGTTTGCTCTGCGTACTTTCTCTGGTCAATTAACCTTTGCTATCTTAGGGGAAAGAGAGGGACAGGTAGAGTGTTTCTGGTACGGAGGACACCAAGGGACCGACTATCTCTATAGACAGACTCAGCCAGTGCCCTGTCTTGTTTGCTGTTTGGTTTTGTTAAGGAGTACTGGGATTACAGGATGCATCACCTCACCTGGCCTAACTATTGTTGTTATCCATCTGGAAGTGTGTCTGTTTAATTCTACAGGAGTCATCTTCTCTAAATTGGCTTCCTGACCACCACACAGCCCTTCTCTCTATCTTCTAATAATCAAACATTGAAACATCCTTTGGTAGCAAGCAGATGCTCATTACCATAGCAACTCAGCGCTGGCTCTACACAGTGGGGAAAGAGTGGCCCATCATTCCGGCCCAGATAGGGATCACTGAACGGCAGTGTTTAACACCAGTGTCCTGGAGCAGAACTAAGTAACTCTAAGTATGCACATGCCACACTAAATATACCCCACACAGCAGCTCATTGGATTCATCCATTGAACCCTGTGTGACAGAGTTGATGTCATCCTGGTTTTGCAGATGAGGAATCTGGTACAAAGAGGTAAACCAACCAGCTCAAGGTCACAGAGACAATCAAGTGTGGGGGGCGGTGGCTTTGGGGCAAACCCAGCAGACTTCGTCCTGCCATCCGCTGATCTGTAAAACACTGGCTGGGCCCTGGGGTTTGTGATTGAACTTCAGGTAGAACCTGATGGTTGAAATTGGGTGGAAACAACATAGTTTCCCCAGCCCCTCACGGGAAACCCTGGCAGCACAGCCCGGGCGCCTCCTTCACTGGGCCTTTTGCTGGCAGCCTCTCCTGGGCTCTTCCGCCCTCTGCATGGCTGTGTCCATCACGGGCACAAGCTGATACACGGCCACCCCCCTGGAATGCAGGGAGAAGCAGAGGCACAGAAGAGCCAGCAGCCTCAGCACAACCTCCGTGTCTAAGGCTTTGCAGAGTGTCTGGGCTCCAGGCACGCTCCCAGCCCTGCTGGACGTGCTGTTGTGAAGGTCTCTGGACACCCGCCACCCAGTGTCCCAGGCAAGGTATGCATGTGCTAGCCGGCAGGCCGGAGCTGCCATGCCTGCACACACAGCTAAGCAACATACTTGTATCCATGATGAAGACTTCCGAGGTGGGCTTTGAAGACTGTGTTCACTGGAGTAAACCAACCCACCACCCAACTCAGCCTTCTCTATACATTCTTGGCTTTAGCCTCTCATTCCTGTAAACCGGTGTCTTTAAGTGAGACAACTCGGACAGAAGATTTCAAACGTTGGCTTTCTAGTATAAAAGAGCTCCTTAAACTTTCCGACAGTTAAGAAATGCACAATGGAAAAGGAGGCATGCCAATTATTAAGAAGCAAAGCAACAGAAAGTCTCTATAATGGATACAAATTATCTTGCCCTCCAAGATTTATTGACAAAAAGCCCCAAATTTTCCTTTAGTCAACCACTAAAAATAAGGCATGTGTGACAATCGTATTTTCTTTTTCATTTTCATCAAGAAAATAGCGATTGTTAAGTGTTTTATTATTTTAAAATATTTTTCTTCGGCTTTTCATAATTTCTACCTACAATAGAATCAGTTCGAAAGGGTGATCAAAGGATAGAAAAACCGAAAATGTGGTCAAAGGGGTGACATCTTATCACAGTTAAACGGAACAAATGCTTGCATTGTCCTGCGTAATTATCAGGCGCTTTTACTTCTAAAAATAAACCTTGCCAAGCATGCAAGTCTTATCTGCAGTGGATTTCCCAGTATGTTGTTACAATCTTGTATCATTTCATCTTGTGTTTTAAGTTAATGTGTGGTTGAGACCACAAGTTAGACACATTAATTTGAGGGTTTTTGTTTTGTTTTGTTTTTTGTTTTTGTTTTGTTTTGTTTACAGGGGTGAGATGATGGGAAAATTGGCAGGCAAATTCTAAGAACCTTAAATACATCCCGGCTCCAATTAGGTTTTTACGGCTGTATTTATATGTTTAGTAAGCGTATCACTTCTGAAAAAAGGTGACTATTTCCAATGAAACGCTCAATCTGTTTGAGTTGAACCATGAAAATTATGCTGTCTTAGAAAAAATGTTTGGGTTTCGAATTGTGCACCTGTTGACCAAATGCCGACCCCAAGGAAGTTTGTGCTCTACTGTACCAAGTATATTTAAGGAGATTCAAAATGAATTTTGCTGAAATAGCCTCAGGGCTCCCTTGGCCAGGGGCTCACCCAGAAGGGTTTATACCCAACAGCCTCTGCCCTCTGTAACATGCAGGTTGTTTCATGCACTCTGTCGTTTGGGGGTGGAGCCTGCCTGAGTGCACAGTATCAGGTCAAATCTGACTCTAGAGTCAGGTGTGGTGTCACACACCTATAATCCCAGCACTTGGGAGGCTGAGGCAGGAGGATTGCTGGGAGTTGGAGGCCAGTCTGGGCTACAGAGTGAGTTCAAGCCCAGCCTGAACTACATAGTGAGAGCCTGTCTCAAAAAAAAAAAAAAAAAAAAAAAAAAAGAAAGAAAGAAAGAAAAATCGACTCTAGAGGAAAGGAAATCCACTGGAATCCCTTAGAAAACTTTACTTCTCTCTTGGACCAGGGACCGATACCCGGGTACCCTGCAGCTGAAGATGCCACAGAAGAAATGAGTTTTCTGGGTTTGGATGACAGAAGCTGGAGAGCTGGGGTCACCAGGTGGAAGGAGGAGCCAGAGGTCAGTTTAGAGGCCAGGTGGGATGAAAGGCTGTGCGTGACTGAGGTCGAGTCAAAATCACCCCTCGCTGTATCCTCCGAGGGCCCAAGGCCTTGTGCTTCCTTTTAACACTTTATACTTTCAAATTTTTTAAATATCAGTTGTGTTGTAGTGTAATATCCAAAGAGAGGAGCATAGAAGTCACACATCCAGCTTGAAGAATCTTCAGAACAAGGACACTCCATGTGACCAGTGTTATGAATTAAGAAGCAGAGCTAAAGGGCTCATGTTCATCCATCTTTGATATAAGATAGCTAGATTTTCATTCTCTGCTGTATTGAAATAATCTCTGTATATCTGTTCTCTCTTAGAGACTTCAAACTCTGGACCCAGGAAAACTGCCTATAAATCCTGGCTCCTCAGTTTTGCCTTGAACAGGTCACTACCTTATCTGTCTAGGCCTCAGTTTTATCATCTGCAAATGGGAACAATAGTCCTCATCTTTTAAAGACCATAAAGAGTAAGTGCATTAGTGTCATGTGACCATGCTACAACAGTGTCTGTGTCCAGGAAGCACCGTGTGGGTGAACTGCTGCTACCCACCAAGTTAAATCCCTGGGTTGAATCATGCTAGGAAACGCTGTGGGGCTGAACCAAGTTGATGAGTCAGGGAAACAACAGTAAAAAGCTCAGGGTTTGTATCCCAGGACCAAATGAGCACAAACCCACCGCCCATTTTCAGCCTGGAAGCTGTCAGGTCTCTGTGTTTTTATCAGGCGTCTGTAATATTCCAGGCACCGCACCATTTCTCCTGGATGAAATGTTAGAATTTCTTTCCTAGTGCAGTATTAGCAAAATGCCTGTTGGGTCAGTTATTGAAGAACAGACCCATGTCCACCATGTACTGGTCACATCAGGATCCAAGCTGCAGTCGGGTGTCACTGGCTCTCAACAGGTCAGCTCTATTCCAGAACAGGTGGATTTGGTCCTGAACTCACCTGGCTCAGTGTTGTTCTTGTTTTCATGAAGACAACAACAGATGCTAATGCCTTTAGCTACCTCAGGAGCTGTGGCTGGGTGCTCTGGGCCTGGAGGGATGCTCTGGAGGCCAGAGTAAGGTCAGTAGGCCTAGGTAACCAGGCTAGAATCAGATCGCTCATGTAAACATTTTGATTCATTAAATACCTACAAAGGATACATGAATGCAAAGCCCTGTGCGGGAGATGCAAGCTTGTCTGAGAATCTGTCCTGCCCTCAACAAGCCAACTCTAGAAGCACTGCAGTTTAGAGTGGGTGCTGGGGAGATTGGGAGGGGAAAGTCCAGTATTCTGAAGATTAAAGGACATTTCAGCCTCTTAGGTGGCTCGCTAACAGTTTTGTTTGCTCTTGCTGAATCCACTACCCCGCCACAAAAAGACATAACATAAATGTGAGGCTTCAAGAGCGAGAATGTTTTCTGAGTTGTTACATGAAGCAGGAGAATCTTCTCCTGCATCAGGGGCAGCAGGAGAGCAGGTGCATCTTCTGCAACATCCAAAAGGGGAAGAAATGACAAAGATACCAGTTTGAAACTAAGAGAATTCAGAAGGACAAACGACAAGGCAAGAATGTCGGACAGAATTCTCTGGGTTTTAATTTCTCTCACTGCTTATTTTATACTTTCTCTGATGAAGTATTTCAGTCTGTATAAAATAATGTCACATACCTCCATGGAGCCACTATTCTGACTCAATAGAAATGTGTAATTTTTTTTATGGTTGCCACAGATTTCTTTTCTTTTCTTTTCTTTTCTTTCTTTCTTTTTTTTTTTTTTGGTCTTTTTCCTTTTTATCGGTACCGGGGATCGAACTCACGACTGCCTGCTTGCAAAGTGCTTATGCCGCTGAGCTAAATCCCCAGCCCCCGCACAGATTTCTTTTTAAAAAAAAAGAAACAAGGAAAGAAAATGCAAGGCATACAGCTCACGTCTCACATCTCTTCCCCTCCCCGCTCCCCGCATTGTCCTGAGATCTAACCACCACCTGAGAATCGCGCCAGCCCTTCCCATCCTGGTGCACATCTGCCACATGCAGGTGCATTCACGTGGTCCTGCCTTTCCCTTAATTACAAACAAACAGTGGCCTCTGAGACTAGGATCATGTCTCCAAGGAGATCAGACCATTTTATCTTCACTTCTTAAAATTATGCTAAAATATACCTACCCTAACATTTACCACCACAGCTGGGGATTTAGCTCAGCGGCATAAGCACCTGCATTGCAAGCAGGCAGTCGTGAGTTCGATCCCTGGTACCGATAAAAAAAAAAAAAAACATTTACCACCACAGCCATGTTAAGTGGCTTTAAGAACATTCACACTGTCTTACAACTCTGCAGGGATCCCCGCCGTCCATCTCCAGTCTTCTCCATCTCCCCCAGCTGGACCTCTGCACCTGTGAAACACTGACCCTTCATTCTCCCACTGCCCGGGCTCTGGCCACCCACCTTCCCATTTCCATCCTTAAGAATTTCACCACCCTAGTCCCTCACGGGGACCTAGTGGAATCATAATCTTTGTCTTTCTTGTGATTGGCTTATTTCACTCAGCAGATTGTACGCAAGGTGCGTCCGTGTTGGAAATTGTGTCAGAATGTCCTTTTTTAAAGCCTAGATAATATTTAGACCACTAGTTTTGCGAGATATCAGGCTAGTCCAACAATCCACCACCCCATCTCATTCTTGCTTTCCCCCATACACCCCTGCACCCCACTGCGTGAAGGAGCCACGCACAAGGTACCCCACCCTGTCTAAGAGACAAGAGTGGAAGCAGTTTCTTTTTTTTTTTTTTTTTTTTTTTTGTCTTTTTCCTTTTTATCAGTACCAGGGATCGAACTCACGACTGCCTGCTTTGCAAGGCAGGCGCTTAGGCCGCTGAGCTAAATCCCCAGCCCCAAGAATGGAAGCAGTTTCATGCAGCCAAACAAGAGCTAGCTCTGGCTGGAAAGAACATTGCAAGCTCACCAAACCTGGGTTTCAGCCTGGAAAAATAAGCCTGGGGGAGGAAGAGACAAAAGAGATATTGGCCTAATAATCCACCGCTGTCTCCCTTAGCTCTAGCACCCTTCACCTATGACCCCATGAGCAGCACTGTGCCTCCAGGACCTGCGACGTGGCACAGAGGACTGCTTTTCTATATTTCTGTATTGCTCCAAAACTGTTGACCAGTCCCTCTGCCCAGTCAGTCCAGGATTAGGTCCCGACGTGCACTGAGAGATGGGAACAGGAGAACCAACACAGGCTAGAAACTAACACCAGGAAGAGGGGAGAGGCCGAAGCCCCTTCAAGACATGGGCCAGCCTTTTCAGGGCGCTCTATACACCTCACCACTCCAGCCCTACACACTGATGCGGTGAACAAAGGCGCAGGTCAGGCATCCTTTATCCTCTTGAGACAAAAATTGCTTCAGATTTTGGGGTTTGGGATTTCTCTTTGGTTTTATAAATTTTTTAGAATATGTATGTGTTCGTAATTAAATATCCTGGGGCTAGCACTGAGGTCTAAACACAAGGTCCATTGATACTCGCATCCACCTTGTGCCTAAAGCCTGAAGGTAATTTTATACATTTTAAATAATTTCATGCATGCAACAAAGCTTTACGGTGCAGAATTTTCCACCGGGGGCATCATATCAGTACTCAAAAACTTTTGGATTTTGGAGCACTTTAGATTTCAGGTTTTTGGTTGATGGATGGTCAGCTTATGTTAGGATTCCCAGGGTGCCCCAACTCCATACATGGACCACTACTAGTCAGTGTTAGTCCCTGCTGCTCAGATTAGAAATTTACCATCCTTTCCAAGCTAGACAGATCTTTGGGCATCTTCTCCAAGTAGTGAAGGATATGCATATTGGAGAAATAATCATTAAGTAAGTAGCTCAGCAGCAAAGCACCTGCCTGGCTGACACAAGGTCCTGAGTTCGATTCCTGGTACCAAAAAGATCATTAAATACACTAAAGTGTATGCTTTGGATTAGAATATTCATTGTCTGCCTTGTGACAATTAAGATGAGAGAAAAAGAAAGCCTCTCCACTCATAATAGATTCAAGGTGAAATTTGGATTCACAGCCAAAACTGTCCTGGCAACTTTGTCCATGGCTAAAATTCTACCTCAGGGAGCTCACTGACCTGTCCACAAGGCCAGGAGGCAAAGTTGAGATGCCTCCTATCAATAAAACTAGTTCAGAAGAGTAGGTTGGTTGCTTGGACCATCTTTCAGACTTTTAGAGACTGTCATCCAAATATCAAGGATGGAAGAAAACTGTACTTTCAAAGCGTAAAATCTGGGCAGTCACTCAGGCCCAGCACCACCTTGCAGGGTCGGTTCTTTAATGATCCACTAACCAAGTCTGAAGCAGGGCTGAAAACGCAAGGTCATGTTAAATACCAAGCTCTTGCCAGAATCACGAAAGACTCCACACAGCTAAAGCCAGTGGTCACTTCCCAGATTTTACCTTCCCTTGACCAATCAGCATCAAGCACATGGGGATGGGGGAGTTTGGACCTAGGTGACGTGAAGGGTCAAGATGTGACATGTGCACCTGCCAGTTCCCCACCAAAAACATCCTATGCTGTATCACAAACATGGACTAATAAACAAGGGGAAAACTCACCAATAATGTATTAAACAGCTTTTGACTTTAAAAGTTTATGTGAGCGGGCTGGGGGTTTAGCTCAGCGGCATAAGCACCTGCCTTGCAAGCAGGCGGTCGTGAGTTCAATCCCTGGTACCGATAAAAATGAAAAAGACAAAAAAAAAAAAAAAAAGTTTATGTGAGCAAGAATAATTCATGAACCCAGCAGGAATCACAACCCTCAGAGCTCCACCCAGCAGTGTGAGTAGCAAACTTTACTAGGTGAACAAGAAGCCATGCAGAGACACCAGGTGACAGCCAGCACCTGCTTGTGGTAGGCGTGGTCTGATCAACTGGCTGCCTGCAATTGGCTGCAGCATGGCTGTTTGGGATTGGCTGAAACTCAGCTATTTATACAAAAACCTAAATTAGCTTTGGTCTGTTACTAGGAACTCAAAGTATGGCCTCTTGGTTAGCTTCCCACATCTCCCTCCTTAAAACACAATTCCTGTGTCTCCTGGAACCTGATTTTTCTTCATCTCCTCAACACACCGGCCAGCCCTGTGCAGTCTCCTGACTCCTGGCACGCCCAGGACCGAAGCCCTTGAGGATCTCCCTGTCTGCACTTACCCTTTAAAAGGCCCTATCGAAGTCCCAAGGCTTTAAGGTCACTATCTGTGATCAGTCCCAAATGTGTATCATTAGCTTGGACCCAGTGGTCCACTCAGCCCTTCTGTTTAGCTTTTGCGGATATTTCAAAATTACCAGTGATGAAACTGAACTTCTAGTTCACCATCCACACTCCTGATCTTTGCCTGCTGCAGCCTTCTGCACCTCCAAAGAGTTTGGGGGAAAATCTTGGAACTGTCTTTGACTTATGATTCCTTTATTCTTCAACCCAACCCATCAGCAAATCCTTCATCTCTTTAATATTCGAACTATGCCCGAATCCAGGCACATCTCCCACCTTGACTGTTACACCCCAAAGGCACATTACTTTTGCAAAATTTTCCCACTGGTCTCTCTTCTTCTGTCCTCATCCTCTTACAATATAGTTCCTGGAAATGAAAGTCAAATCAGGGCTTTTCTCTTCTCTGAACCCTATTTCATTTAGAATGGAAGTTAAAGGTGTAACCGTGTCCTACAATACAGTACCTGGCAGTCTCTCGGCTACATCTCTGACCTCCTCTGTGGTCCACCCCTAACCCCATCACTCTGCGGTGGTAGTCTGGGCTCTTTGCTGCTCCATGGGAACACCCAGCTCACTCTGCCTCGGAGTCTCTGCAGGTGCCCACCCTCGGGAGACTGAACTTAAAACTTGAGGTATATTCACACAATGAAAATAAGTGATCTCTAACTTTATACGATAATATGGGTGAATGTCACAAAGGCAGTGTTGGGGAAAAAGAAGTGGCAACTTGTGAATCAGCCTAAAGTTTAAAAAATAAGGGGCTGGGGAGTTAGCTCAGTGGCATAAGTGCCTGCCTGGCAAATGTAAGGTCACGAGTTCGATCCCTGGTACCAAAAAAAAAAAAAAAAAATTGTTAGAAAAAGGAAAGAGAAGACACACAGTCTGGTCCACAAAGAGACATGTCAGGGTCACATGGGCTGTCCTCCACTTCCGGTTCAAGGTGCAGATCCCACAGACGTGTTCAGCTTAGGGAGATTCACCAGACTGTACACCCATGGCAAGTGCACATTTCTAATGCATAGAGTAAATGCCAATGAGAGGTTGTGGGTTTTTTAAATGTTCCTGCGTATTCTCAGTTTCCAAGGGGAGATCCAGTTTCCCACACTCCCACCCTTTCAAAATTGCTATCTGCTCCACTTCCTGGTCAGCCCCAAGGGGTTAATCACCCAAATTAGGACGTCATTATGGTGACTCTTCTGGTTTTTGGTGCTCTGAGTACTTTGGATTTTTATCTCTCCACCTCTAATCGGACTGAATCCCCTTTTGTAACTAAAATATTTAACATTTATGATAAATTCTTAGCATTGGTAATCATAAAAGATAACAATAACTACCTTGGGGGCCAGGGCTATACAGGTTCACAATGTGTAATATTTTATTTTTATCCTTTCAACAATCCCGCCAGACAAGACAGCTTTGCCCATTTTATAGATGAGGAAGCTATGGCACAGAGAGGTAAGAAATACTCCTAAAACAGTGCTCTTTCTGATAATTCATGTCACATCTCCAGTGGCTTGTTCTGCAAACAGTTCCATTCTGTTTAACAATTTTCCTTCGTATGCGTATCATCCCCAGTCAGGAAGGCAGGCTGTCGCATGATTTGAGCTACCTGCAAGTTATCTGGATCAGGAACGAAAGGTAAGGTGTCTGTGCTGAAAATCCTAGAGCCTGAACCCTAAATGCTCAACCCCAAACTGCACAGGAAACTTCTTATTGCCAGCAAGCCAGGGAAGCTTTAAAAGTCCTGGCAAGAGCCCTGAAATCAGAGCCGGCCAGCATGTGTCCCTGAGTATCACAAGAGACTCTATATTTACCCTGAAAAGCCCTTTAGTGCAATGTAGAGTTATAAATAACCATTAGGGCCTGAGCAAGTGGCCTTAACACATGGATTTCTTTCTAAAAATGCAGAGCCATTTTAATTAAATTTGTAATTTACCATTGGGGGGGGCAGCCCCCCTGTAGTTTGCCTGCTTGGGAGACAACGTAATTTCCTATTTGTTGAATTTTGGGGGATTAGCGTGCAGGCTGGTTATTTAGGTCTGAAGCAGCCTCTCTAGAAGCAAAGCTGAGGTCCTGGAGAAAAGATAGGCTCCATGCTTGGAGTGAACGTACCCTGCAGCCGCAAGTCTGCCCCTGCCCTGGACCTCGCAATCAGGGTGTCTCTAAAATCAAACCTTTTGTTCTGTCGTCCCCTAGAGCAAGATGGGAGTCATGCTTGTGCTGATGCTGCCCCTGCTGCTGCTGGGAATCAGCGGCCTCCTCTTCATCTATCAGGAGGTGTCCAGGCTGTGGTCAAAGTCAGCCGTGCAGAACAAAGTGGTGGTGATCACTGATGCCCTCTCAGAGCTGGGCAAAGGTAAGTGGACTGTCCTCTTCCCAGAGATGACTGGCAGTGGCAGGGTGGCGTGTGGGCAAATGTACTAGGTAGGAAGGGGTTGATCCTGGGTTCTCTCCAACCTCTGTCACTAACCAGCGCATTAGTGAAGTTTATTAGTAATGCTTCAGCTCTTTTGCCTGATAAATGAGGGGACCGGAATCTTTGAGGGTGCAAACTCATACTCTAAATGTCAACACTGGTCTATGGATGTGGTTAATTTTGCTTTCATGGTGTTTCCAGGAATTTTTTAAGGCCGTGCTCTTAGCTGGGGCTGTGTACCGGTTCTGAGCCCTGATTAGGGTGCTAGGTTCAAGTCCTGATTCCAGCAATTACTAGCTGGTTACTTCCCTTCTCTGCATGGAATTTCTCCTCTGTAATGTGGGAACGCTGTCTCTACCTCATAATGTAGTTTTGCACAACGAGTGAATTTGTAGATGGATAGCACTTACAAGAACACCTGCAGAATAAGTTCAAGCCGAGCGCACCCCCTTCCATGTGCCACACACCCCACCACTCCCTGTTGCACATTACTTGGTCTGATGTTTTCTGCCATTCACCTGCTGGTCTTGTCTGCAGCCCCTAAATTAGATGGTCTCCGGGGTCATTCTCCTGGTTGCATCTGTGACCTGAGGAGTAGTCAATGTCCCTTGGCTTCAATCCTGTCATTGCAAAGAGTGACAGTACAACCCTCTGTATTGCATAGTTTGGGGATGATTTTTGCTGTTGTTTTTAATCAAACACAGAACACACACAGTCAATCATTTATTAGTTACTCTCAAATAACTATAGGTATACTCTGTCCTGGTCATTGTCCATTCTGAAGTGTCTCTAGAGGGCTAATGGTGGCCATTGTGAGACTATCTGTGACCTCCTTTTTGAGAATTTGCTCAGAGCCTGCTTGTCATTTTCTTGGGCATTCCAGTGGGAGCCAAGCCACGTGCTCTGAGGATCAGTTAGATTTCAACAGGGGATCATTTTGGGTCCAACACGACAGGTTGAAAAAACACAGCATGAGGCAGACAGACATGAGGTTCCCGTGCAGCCCTTCCGTGGGCCCCAGAAGTAATTCCCAAAGTCAGACCAGATCCAAGATGACAACATTGCCCCCAAAATTGGAGATCAGCTCACCCAGAGCCATTCAGGGTCAAAAGCTTTGGGGCAACCTTGCTGTCCAACTAGAACGTGTTTGACTAGAAAGAGGCCAGGCTGGCTATAGGGGACCCTGATTCAGCTTGGAGCCTTCCCTGTCACCTTAATCGCCCTTCCCTCTTGATGCCCTGTAAGGAACCACCCGTCTCCTCTGTGGCTTCATCATCCAGTTACTCCTCACTGTGTAGTCTCTGTGCTGCTCAGTTGATCCATCAGACACAGCTTCCTACGGGGGAAACCTGTAATTTGTTCACCCTGGAGTCCCCAGCATCCCAGTGCTTGGCATCCAGTGCATACCCAGACAGAATTTATTTATTTGTTTAACCACTTGCTGAAGGAATCGTGCTCATTTACATTAGGAAAGTATTTGCCTGCATATTACCAGTTTGATTCTAGTGTGGCCCGAGTATAATCACACAGAACGTGACTTCAATTCTTTAGAGTTGGTTGAGGTATGATTTATGGCCTGGATATGATCTGTCTCAGACAATATTCTGTAAGGACTTTTAAAAAATGTACATTTTGCTGTTGTTGGGTGGAACAATTTCATGCTGCGTTTGAAGAAGCTGTTCAGTTCTCCTATGTCCTTGATGACTTTCTAGTCTTAGTAGATACAACTACTGTTCTCTCTGTTGTATGTTTGCTTTAAAGGTCCTTTTAAAGATTTTTAAAATCTCATTCAGCTGTAGAGAGACATTTATAAACCAGGCTCCCAGGAAGCACATGTCAGGAACAAAGTGACATTTGCACAGGAATGTGACCTAGTCTGCCTAGTTTGACTAGTTTACTTTTTTACTGCATCTTACTGACCCACCCTGAAAAGAAAGGCAAAGCAGAAATAAAGTCCAAATACTTCAAAGTAACTTGAGAAGCTGGGTGTGTATGACTTTAGGTAAGCACCTGGCATCAAAGTGCCATTGACGACCGACCGGGACTCCAGGTCCCAGTTGCTGTTTCTTAAGTCCAAGGCAAGAAAAAAGTAAGGTGCATGGAGAGGACGATGTGGGCTGCATGGGGCTACCCTTGGGGTTCACCGGGAGGAGACTGTGCACTAGGGAAATCAGACCAGCAGGTTGTGTAAGGCATCCTGTCCTTGCCTTAGACTGCACAATTCAGCCAAGTTGGCACTGCGTCACCTGTGCCCACTGTGTCTGAAGCAAAAGGGACAGTCGACATGTCTAAGCAGGGCATGTGAACTGATTCACGGATTTCCAACCAAACACCGACCCCATCTCTCTTCTTTTCACTTTTAAGGTGCTCAGTGACGCCCCATCAGGCTGAAATCAGGCCACCTAGGAGTCAACAGCATCTTACACTTCCCATGTCTTCCTTTCTCAGTTTTTGATTTCTGAAATCAAGGGGCACCCCTTAGTCCGTGGCGTCATAGATGTGATCAGATGGGGAAGGAAGGCTCAGCTTATGCTTATTGGCTGGAAGAAAAGATCAATCTCAAAGTGCTTGGCACAAGGTCAGTGCCAAGGGTCTCTAACCCAGTACCCGGCTTACAAACATGTCCCCATGAAATGCAATAGGAGGACAGAATGGGCGGGCAATGGCGAACACCCAGCATGCTCCTTTCCAGGAAGTGGGGACCGGCCTTGATGCAGCTTAACATGGAGAGCAAGCCATCTCTGATCTGCACATCAGAGTCCTCAGGTTGATGTCTTAGCTTCACCCTGGGGTTCCAGAGGCATTGCCCTTGCTAAGGAGTTGCATGGCTATGCCCTCCCCTCAGAGGGACCAGCCCACAGTAGGTGACTGGTTGGCACAGGAGGGTAAAAGCCTGGTCTTCTTACCTCCACATGGAACAGTCTGCAGAGGGGTTCAGACTGGATGGTCCTCTCTGAATCAAGCAAGCTATACTTTGCCTGAGAGCATGTCCTTGCCTGGTACCTGCTGAAGGTCATCGGTTCATGGATATTTTTCTCTGAGAAGCACTCTCTTGATAAATCCTGGCCACCTAACTCTCTGTCTAGATTCTGCTTCTAAGGGGACCTAATCTCGGATACTATCTCCCCAGATTATAGTGAGAATATATATAAATGGTGAGCTAATATATATAAATTTCTTCCAATAGTTCCTAGAACAAGTAAACCTATTGCTTATAAGTATCAGAATGCTGTTCCCAACTATTGCCCAGTGGGGAAAATCTATATTGGGTGAATCACAAACTAGTACAGAGTAAAATTAATCTGAAAGAAGATATTCTTTTTTCATAGAAGAGAGCTTTGGCTGAAGTATTTATCCACAGAAAATCTGCTGAGCAGTGGCTGATATTTGACCTGAACAAACTTTCTAATATTTGTAGATTTGAAATCTCCTTAGGATCCGAAAGCTAGGCAGAGAGGGTCACCTTTGTGTTCGGTCTAAGGAAGAACTAAGTTCCAGACATCAAAACACCTCAGTGCAAGCTTCCTCTCACAGGAAACCACCAAGCCGAGGCTGAAAATGACCACAAATTTCAGCCTGGACCTGAGATCAAATGAACCGATCTCTGAAAGGCCTTGAGGTGCTAAGATCTGTGAATTCTTTGACTCTCAAGTGCTAAGAGAGCCAGGAGTGCCCATCAGTGGCTCCCTGTACTCAGTGCACCCCGCCCAACTTCCTCCTTCTCCACAGAGTGCGCCCGGTTGTTCCACACAGGTGGGGCAAGGCTGGTCCTGTGCGGGAAGAACTGGGAGAAGCTGGAAAGCCTGTATGACTCCTTGATCAGTGTGGCTGACCCCAGCAAGGTAAGGCCGTCAGCAGTCCCGGGCTGTCCCGGGCATGGGATGTGGTTGGAAATACGCCTGATTTTAAAACAAACAGCCACAAAAAACAATACCTCCTTCACAGGAGGCACAGGGCAATGGCGTCCCCTCCCCAAAAGCCACCCAGGAAGTGAGTGTTTGTTCCAGGGCAGCTACGATTTTTACAGCATTTCAGGGGCGCTGTTTAAGGAACTGATTCAGGGCTCCCGTCAGGATTGATTTTCGTATCTTTATCCTTGAGGCTGGCTTTGGTACTTGGAAATAGCAGGAGTCATTCAGACCTAAATCTTGCAATTGAGGGGACAGAGCAAATAGACAACACAGAACTCTCCATGCGCATTTCTTGGGGTGTTACTAGGTTTGGGATAAAATTAAGATTCTGCAGTCCACTGTTTGGGAAGTACTGGGTTACCTTTGGTACAGTAGGGTGTACTGTAAAACTCCAAAAAAGAACCTGGAAAATATTCTGTGCTTGCTAAATGAATCGGACCAGAGACCCAGTCTTTGAGGATTTATTTATGTCAGAACTGGTGTTTATACAGCACTAGGATTGTATTGAGCCCATGATACTACCAATTTTGTTATCTGTCCCCTACTCTACACAAATACACTCTTGAGGACATCAGCATAGGGTTGAACACAGTGCCTGATACATAGTAGGTGCCCCCAAAATACTGTGTGAGTATACGATTTGGACTCAACCCAAAATGTGGTCACAGAGTAGATATGGATTTTGTTGCAACTTATAAAGTCAACTGGAAAAGCAAGTCTCAAGAAATTGCTCAGAAATGTTAAAAGTGACAGTTTTCCCACTGAAATAAGTCCAAGGCCTGCAAAGCAGAGCATCCTCAGGGATGACACTCATCTGGATTGATCAGGATGGAACTATGGAACTATGGCCAGAAGTGTGGATGTATCACTGCACATTCATGTGTGGAGTTAATAGATCCTCCCAGAGTCAGTTCCACTTTTTCGTCTTGGTTGTTGAGTTGATTTGCAGTCATCCCATGAGTTTTGAGTTTCAGATGGGGTGGCTCTTAGTTGGAAGGTCCCTTAGATCCACAGGAGGGAACTGAGAGCACATACCTTGACTCATGCATTGGTCCAACAGACATTCACCCCCAAGCTGGTCCTCCTGGATCTCTCCGACATCAGCTGTGTCCAAGATGTGGCAAAGGAAGTCCTGGACTGCTACGGCTGTGTGGACATCCTCATCAACAACGCCAGCGTGAAGGTGAAGGGGCCTGCCCACAAGATTTCTCTGGAGCTCGACAGAAAGATCATGAATGCCAATTACTTAGGACCCATCACCTTGACCAAAGGTATCCTGAGTTCCATTTTCCCATGGGTTTCTGGGTCACTCGGTGCTGTTTCCTGGCCAGTCATCCAACTCTGCATGGGACTCTTTGTCTCATCAAAAAATTTCTTATTTACTTGATGAAAATTTTAAACATTCTCACTAATTTTTGGTGAAGAAAATTGATTTTGCAAATACGTCACTTACATATCCAAGATCACCATGAAACCCTTCTCCCCACCCAAGTTTTATCCTTTGCCCCCTCCATACTCACACTCATCGCTCCCCTCTGATCACTGTCCTCAGTTTTTGCCACGTCAGCTTCCCAGTTTGTCTGTTCCTAACCATGACAGTTTGTCAAATGTTCCATCCTCAGAAATCAACAAGAAAAAGTGTTTATCCCCAAATGACAAGGAACCCAGTATTCTTTTGGCCTCTTCCCAGAAACAAGGGAGGCAAAAAGACATCTCTGTTAGAGAGGAAAGTTCTGGGTCTCATGTGAACATGTGGAAAGCCTAGAAGACGCTGAGAGGGAGACTCCTCACCACTGAGCTCCAAGGCAGGGCAGCGGGCTGGGAGGCGAGGCTTGGAGACAGCCGTGGTGTGCAGTCATAAACTGAGTGTCACCTCTCCAAAAACACATGTGCGCCAAAGCAGAGGCTCGGGGAAGAATGTAAGCATGAAGGACGGCCCCATATAGGGAACGGGGTGTCCTGGAAGAGGTGAGACTCTGAGAGAGATGAGGAAATAGATGACTTTCTAGAGCTTCTAGAGTGGAGTCACAGGAAGAATAGCTTTCTCCAGCCTCGCTGTGTATGGGCACACCCACCAGGCCAGCAAAAGTGCATTATTCTTTCAGCCTTTAACAGAGACGGCTTAACAGCTGCAAACAGATGAATGGAGACAGGAGAGGTGGGAAAGACCAGGACTGGCTTTCCTGCTAACTTCTCAGGAGCTCAGGGACCTGAGTCTGGTCACCAGCTCTGGGCCTGTCTGCTCATCTCTAACAAGAAGGGGCTGGATTTAGGTAATCACTCTGAAAGCTAAGTCTTTAAGTATTGTCTTTTTGTTTTTGACCTATCCTCTTTCCACCTATACTATTTATTTACTTAATATTTTTATGCATGCTTCATTTTTAAAATTAATTACACATTACAAAGAAATCTTTATAACACCAATACAGATTTAAAACCCGTGCAGTCAGGTGCAGTGGTGCACACCTGTAATCCCAGCTACTCAAGAAGCTAAGGTCTGAGAAACACAAATTTAAAGTCAGTCTGGGCCACTTAGTGGGTCTCTGGGTCAAAATAAAAACGGCTTGGGAGGTAGCTCAGTGGTAGCAGGCTTGCCTAACATGCAAGAGGCTCAGGCCTCCATCCCCCGTAGAAAATAGATAAATGCCCTGTTCCCTCTCAGTCACTACAAGGTGACCCGAAACTAAATCAGGTAAATTCTTCCAAGGACACGGTCTTCCCTCTTTTTGTTAAAAGATTACCAATTGCAAGATAGGTGCTGAAAATCGAACCAGAATGAGACTTTCTTCCTGAGGCAGTCAGAGAATTAAAAAGCTACTACCTTCCTTTATTGACACTAACGTCCTTTAATTAATGCACACTGGTGAGACACTTAAAATCATCCAGCAAGGTGCCAGCTGATGCAGCCCTCTCCTTGGAAACACTGGCTGATTGCATTGAGGTCTCTCCACCTCCGCAGAGACGGTGGAGCCCCGAGGGATGAGCGGGTGCGGGGAAGGTTCTGCCTGCCCTGCCTTGCTCAGCTCAGATTTCTAACTGGAACTCTCGGTGCTTTCTAGTTCTGCTTCCTAACATGATCTCCCGGAGGACCGGTCAGATCGTGCTGGTGAACAGCATCCAAGGAAAGTTCGGGCTCCCGTTCCGGACAGCTTGTAAGTTACTGGGACAAAAACAATGCTCACCTCTCGCACATTTTAATAGCAGGACAAGCACTGTTATGTCCAAGACCAAGCATAGGGTGATGCGAGGTGAGGAATGTCTCCTCCAGAGAGGACGGGGTGTCTGCTGGATTTTCTTTCTCTCCCTGAGTTTTTTTTCCTCCTATTTTTCTCGCATCCGCAGCAACCAAGTATCCATGGGAGAGGTTGGGATGTAAAAGACGAAATGACACCCCTCCCAGAGCCCAGTGTCACAGGTCACAGGACATGCCCTGGCTGACCACGACACTGGCAGATGACGGTCACACCTCTGCACAGAGATGCATAACCCCAGCTCAAACGTCCCTTCCTCCATTCAGATGGCACCAAAGGACAGGAAAGGTTACAACTGAGAAAGAGGGATTTGAATGAACACCACAAGATGGGAGAGGGACAGAGAGGTCTAGAGGACAGAGGAGGAGAAGAGGACAGGAACAAAATCCCAAGGGAGGGATAGCTCCCCAGGTGAGAAGTCCAAGCAGAAGAGAGACTTCCAAGCACATGCTCGTGGGATCCACTGAGAAAGTTCTGGAGACATTCCTACTCCCAGTGAGCGTGGGGACCATGCCACTAGCTTTTCTTTGTGGCCTACACTACTATGTGCAAAACAGGAGCTCAGTGAATATCCATTGATGGAAAGGCAGGAGAGAGAGGAAAGGAAACGGTAGCTCCTTTGTATTAGTTAGCTAGGGCTGCCAAAACAAAACACCAGAGACTGGATGTCTTAAACAGAACGAAAATTCACAGTCATGGTATCAGCAGAATTGGTTTCTGCTGTGGTCTCTCTCCTTGCGTTGTGGGCACCTTCCTGCTGTGTCCTCCAACGGCCTGTCCTGTGTGTCTGTTCACACATGGGCTCTCTCTGTGTGTGTTCAGATCACCTCTGTTTAGAAAGACATGTCACAATGGATTTGGGCCCTTGTGGATTCTTTCACTTAGCTTAATATCTTTCACCCATATCATAGCATGGCAGGTTTTTCTTCCTTTAATGGCCAAATAACATTCTATCAAATGGATACACTGCATATTATTTATTTATTCATCTGGGAATGGACATTTGAGTTGGAGATACACTGAGTAATTCTACTGCAAACAGTCTTGTACAGTGTATCTGAAGACAAGTGCTTTCATTTCTCTGTAGCATGTGCCTAGGAGGGGAAATGTTGGGTCACATGGCACTTCTGTGTTTGTTTGAGAAACTGCCAGATCGTTTCCAAAGCAGCTGCACCAACTTCCTTCCCACCAGCAAGGCACCTGAGTCTCCCGCTCCTCGCCAACATTTATCCTTATGCATCTTGATTTCGGTGACCCTAAGGGTGTGATGTGGTGCTGTATTGTGCTTTTGATCTGTATTTCCCTGAAAGCCACCACACCCAGTTTGGAGCAGGCAGAACTGGATTCATCCTGAACCACTGAGGGTGGGTAACAGGGGCCGGAAACAGAGAGCCAGGATTCTGGTAGAGACTCAGCCACCTATCGCCTATGGCATCACTGTCCCAGCTTCTTGGCCTTCACCGCTCACAAATGGGCACAGCAGTCCTCTGCCCCTCTTGAGTGAATATACGGTGGCACCTTTAGCACCGTGGAGGACGCTGTGGACGCCTATGTCCATGAACCCTTAAGTCCCTCGTAGGGAATGCAATAGTATTTGCAGGTGATCTACACACATCCTCTTGTGTACTTTAAATCATTTCTAGGGTACATAAAACATTGAAACATTTACAGTATAAATGCTACACAAACAGTGTGACATTGTATTGTTTATGGAACGATTAAAAAGTCTGTACATGTTCAGCACAGACGCAAAAGTTTTCTGAATATCCGCAGTTCACAGCTTGTTGAATCCGTGGATGTGAAGCCCACAGATAAAGAGGCCAACTGTATTAAATTAAATTAAATTCACTGTATAATCCAGGGAGGAACAACCCAGGAGAGGTTTGCTTCAGACAATATGATGACAAGATTTTTGTTATTTAATTATTCAAATATTGGAACATTTCAACAAATACCATGATTTTTAGCTTCTCCCCAACACTGTCCCCAGGGCAGAGTCCATCTTCCAGGGCCACAAGCGGTGGAGGCCACCTGTGGGCAGACCCTGGTCTTTCTCCTTGGCCGCCATCCCCTGGAATGCCCGTCAGCTGCATTTCCCATGCTCCTCAGTGGAGACACTTATACTCTGGTACCTCCTGCCAGCTAGCAGGGTCACTCCAATACCAGCCGCTTCTCCGAGAGCTCCAGAGGGCCTCTTGTTTGGTGCTTATGGCTCTCCATGAGGTGTCTCATTATTGAGCCTCATTTTATGGTGAGGAATGTGAGCCCCAGCACTGCATCCTGAGCCCTCCACAATGAGGGGGTCAGATCCTTTTCCCCGGGGCAGTCTGGACTGGTATTTGTGGAAAGAGGACAGGGCAGGGGAAGGGAGGAGAGGACAGTCTGGCTCTCAGACTGAACAACTACAAAAAGGGTTTGATCAAAAGATCCGGGCACAGCGGGGTGGACCATACACACTACATCTCTCCCTCCCCATTGGGCACCCCTGGAATGTGACTTAAAGTCACCACATCCCAGATGGGCTCTTTCTAAAGTTTGGAGAAGTTAGCGATCCATTCTTCTTGGGGTTCCTGGGCTGATTCCTGCTTATCAGCCACTGGCCTCCATGACTTGAGCTGAATCTGGTGCTAACTAGCATGGATGGATCCTCTAAGGTAAAGGGGATGAGAAGTCTGGGCTCCAGGCTCATCACAGCCACCAGCTGGCCCCAGGCTTGCCCAAGCCCCTCGGGTATTGCTAGCCTTCCTGGAAAGGACTAGGGACCTGTGCCTGTGCGGGGCATTTTAAGCATTCTTCGTCATTTGATCCTCACAAAGGAGACCTCACATCACAAAAACTTGCCAACAGAAATATCATCCCCATTTTAAAGAGAAGAAAACTAAGTGCTGGAGAAGTAAAGTGATCTGCCCAAGGTGACACAGTAGGCCAGTGGCTGAGTGGGATTCAGTCTCAGGGCTGCTTCTTTCCTCTACTTCACAAGAGCTCTCTGTTCTTAGCTATAAATGAAGAGGTGAATTCTGAGACGCCTCCTTGCTCCTGGCTTGTGCAGGAATATGTGTGTGGCCCTTCAGGTCCCCAGTGCCCTTCCCGGGGAGCAGGGCCACATTCGCTTCTGGCTGGCTTTTCTCCTAGACGCTGCCTCCAAACATGCTGCCCTGGGCTTCTTCGACTGCCTGCGAGCCGAAGTGGAGGAATATGATGTGGTGGTCAGCACCGTGAGCCCAGTGTTCATCCGGTCCCACCATGCTCACCCAGAGCGAGGGAACTGGAGCGCTTCCATCTGGAAATGTGAGCGTGCGGGGAAGCTCTTGAGGGTGGGCCAAAGGGTGTTCCTGAAGCAGGCTTCTGGGCGTCTTGTGGTCCCACAACTTCAGGCTTGAGGCACCAGTACGAGGGGATCCCAGCCCGTAGCTAAAATACCATGGCCCGGACTGGCTGCCCAGTCCACTCAGCTCAACCGCTGTCTGCCTGGCTCAGCCTGCATCTGGACCTGATTCTACTGCTAGCAGGATTTGGTCTTCAGGACCTGGCTGGTTCCCTCTTTCCAGAGTGGAGAGTGAGAGTGATGTCAGGCTGGACCACGGGCACTAGGAGCCTGCCTTGCCCAGGTTGGATGACTGAATATCAGCAGGTCCCTTCAGCACTCCATGCCTTGGTGTCCTGAGGGACAGTAGCAATCCCTACCTCGGGTTACTGGGCGGACTGCAGGTTCCCACTCACCAGCTCATGGTGAGAGCTCCACACCTGCACATGGTTATCATTACGCTATAAGACGCTGACCGCAGAGTCTCTGGCCTCTGTCTACATGGAGGAACCAAGGTGAGTCAGCCTGGGGGATGCAGCAAGAAGTTCCACGAGGCTCCAGACAAACATAGCTTCTCAACAGTTATAAAGCAGCCCTTAATTCACCCAGCACCCCCACCCCGCCCTCTGTTCTGGAGACTGAACCCAAGGCCTTGGCACTGAGCTGTATTCCCATCCTGTTACCCATTTTCTGTATTGGGATGGAGATCGCTAACTTGGAAGATAACCAGGCTGGATTCGAACTTGCGATCCTCCTGCCTCAGCCTCTCAGAGTGCTGGGCTGAGACCTTACTTCCTAACCTCTTCTGCCTTTCTACTGCTGCACACAATGTCCCCACCAACGTATCAAGGCCAGAAGGCCCACTTCATAGGTCAAGAAGTGGAGGCCGGGAGAGGTACAGTGTCTCCCCCAGACATCTAGGTGGCAAATGTCAGCATGGCCTGGGCACAGCGCCAGAGGCAGCCCCCGTGTCCCCCATCTTTGGGCCACCCAGGGTTTTGACCCACTTGCTCCCCACTTGTCAACCATAAGCCCCGGGGGCCGCCCAGTCTTTTCCAGGAAGCTGACCCAGGGCGAGCACCCGGTGGAGGTGGCCGAGGAGGTGATGAGCACCGTGCGGCGGCGGAAGCAGGAGGTGCTGATGGCCAACCCCATCCCCAGGGCCGCCGTGTACATCCGCGCCCTCTTCCCCGAGTTCTTCTTCGCCGTGGTGGCCTGTGGGGTGAAGGACAGGCTCAGTGTCCCGGGGGAGGGGTAACAGAATAAAGGCTTTGCTGGCCAGCGTGGGCTCTCTGTCCTCCCTGCAGCACGGATCCCTCCCAAACCCTGCCCCTTATCACCTGGGCACCTCCTAGTGGGACCCCCACCCCCACCCCACTACCCCACCCCCACCGCACTACACCCCACCCCCACCCAGCTTCCTTGTCCACGCAGGGCTCCCCGCCCCCACCCCTTCCCCCCCTCCCACCCCTTCTGTATTGAGATGGGTCCCCTGACCCCCCTCCCACCCCTTCCCCCCCAGCTCAGGAGCTGCAGGGCCTCGGGAAGGGGAGCATCGGTCCTGGCTCCACCAAACCCACATTGTGCAAACCCCGTGGCCACGGGCCTGCCCAGAGGCCGGAACCCACTGCCCCTCACACGAGGTGACCCAGCTGCAGGACGCAGCATCCGCGGGCACAGACACAGCCTGTCCCTCAGAACCCTCCCATATGGCAGCCACCAACCCTGCATGGCTGCCATACAGGAGGGACTGATTTTATTCAGTGTGATGAATTTATACCTTCTACTTACTAAGTATTCTATGATAATACTCATATTAATATGAAGCATTTATATTCGTTTTCATATTAATATTATTTTATAGACTATATACATATACAAATAATATAAAAATAAACTGGGTGTGGCAATGCTCAGCTGTAACCCCAGATACTCGGGAGGCTGGGGCAGGAAAATCAGGAGTTTGAGCCCAGCCTGCACAACTTAGCTAGACCCTGTCTCAAAAAAAAGTCAGGAAAGGGCTCAGAGTGTAGCTCAGGGGTAGAGTCTTGGCTTAGACTGTGCCAGGAACTGGGTCAATCCCCGGTTCTGTTATTCGTGGCTGGTACTATATTTTTTTTTTCAATAGTATATTATTGATAAGCATATATGGTTACCTCTGATAAGTGCTTACTACTTACACTGAGTTTAACTAATATGTTATTAAAGGATAGTGTTCCCCCTTGGCAGAGTCCAGAACTGTGACTGACAGTCCTGGTAGCCTATGAGAATTAGCCCCTCCCAGGGACTGATCTCACAGGCCAGCGCAGGCTCTGAGCTGGTTTTGTTTCTGAGATGGTCTCCTTACATAGTCCAGGTTGGCCTTGAACTCACTGTGTAGCCCAGGCTGGCCTCGAACTCACGATGACCCTCCTGCCTCAGCTTCCTAGGTTGCTGGCATTACAGGCATTGAGCGGGTTTTTGAGAAAAGACTCAAGTTGTTTTTTGTAAGTGTGCAGCAAATGCTCAGAACCTCGCCACATTATGTTCCTCCACCTCATTACAGTTCTACAGTACGCTCTCAGAAGCAAAGCACAGAGCATATTTTTTGCACTAATTTTGTAACCACTGGCTCAAACTTTTCTTACTTACATAGACAAAATAGGGTAAAACTTTCTTCCCTTAATTTGTCATTTGCAAAATTAACATACACATGGTCCACAGATACATGCATATAAATCTTATTTTAAAAAGTAAAATACCCAGAATCATGCAATCCCCTGGAGCCCAGACCACCCCAGGACCCTACTGATGGTCATGTCTACAGCCATAGGAAGCAAGATGTAGTGACAAAATTTGCAAGGGTCAGCAAAGGGACTTTCTCCTGGGAGGTTTTATTCTGCGAGGTGGCCAGGGGAAATGTAGAGGAAATATAGACCACAGCCAGCAGAGAGTGGTGAGGGTTTGGAGGGACACAACAGCACCAGGAAAGTGGCTGAAATTTGACTGATAGCCAGAGAAGAGCTTCAGAACTGAAGAGCTGGGAACCCTGACGGTGGGCAGACAGCCTGGGGGTCACCAGTACTGGGCTCCGGACAAAGCTAGAAGACAGGACTGAGACCGGCGTTGGGCCCAGTGAGATTGCCCTGATGTTCCCAGCAGCCCAAATTCCCATCTGTGCACTTGGCCTCCCTCTAGCTGGATGCTCCTGATTGGATGCTTTCAGAAGTCCCTGTGTCCCTGTGTCCACTCAAGACCTACTGAAGTCTTAGGATCTGGCATCACAGAACCATAGTAAATGAAACCCCCAACCCTTATGTTGGAACATAGGGTAAAAATACTTTTTTAGTGTTGCAGGGAACAGAAACTGGGGTAGGGGAGAATAGGGGAAGAGGACACATGTCATGCACCATGAGTAATGACCACCACTTGTTAATGTGACCCCAGACCCACAGTATCTTACTAACTTTTCTTTCCAAGGAAACCCCGCAGTGCTTAGCAGTTACGCTCCTGACCTCCGATGAGCAGGTCCCTCTGGAGATTCCATTCTGTCTTCCTACCAACCTTAGCTAGAGCTAAGAGTCTGCTCAGTAAGGTCCTGCTGCCGTGAGCAGGAGGCAAGCCTGAGTGTGGTTGACCCCTGGGACACCGAAGCACTGGGCTCTGGAAAGCCACGGTAGCCAGTGAGTGTCCCAGACCACGGAATGGCCACCCAACACACTGCCTGGACTAGGGAACAGAGATGGCTGACCATTCACAGATCAAGACCGATAACCCATCCTTCCTCTCCATGGTAGAAGGGGGTCGGGATTCATCAGGCACCCACCAGGCCCTGATTAACAGGAAGATTGGGGAGGCGTGAGTTGCAGGAGTAAGCCAAGAAGTTCTCATCAGGATGGCTGAACTGTGGGAGAGGAAGTTTGTCTCATGTGTTAGTACTCTGTAGACATAAAGAGTGCATTAGGTTTCCCATTCCTAGGACAAAATATGCAGCATGCAACCTAAAGGAGAAGGTGCTTATTTGGCTAAGTTTTCAGGAGATTCAGTCCATGGTTGGCTCCAAGGGAGAAATGACACAAGGGACTAGGAAAGCTGCCCAATCCATGGCAGCCAGGAAGCGAGAGAGAAGCGAGAAGCCAGGGACAAAAACACATCCCTCTGCGTCACACCTCCAGGGACTTACCTCTGACCGAGCCCCGCTGCCTCACACTGTGTCCACTACTGAACTCATCACTGAGTAGGTGCAGCACAACCATGACCGTGAAAAATGATAAGATAGTCAACAGGAAAATTATTTCCAGCCCAGAGACAGCTATTCACAAAAGAAGGACAAATTGCTGGCTGCAAACTCAAATAAGTCATCTTAAATTAAAGCTTGCAAAATTAACAGGATGGCCAGAACAAATTTAAAGTTCAAAAATAAATGACTTGAGTCAATGTATTATTTAGGCATCAACATATATGTGACAAAATTCTAAAGAAGCACAAAGGAGGACTGAAAGTCCTCAGGAGAATGGGTGAATGGAGACCCCAAAGAGAGGCAGGGTGGCTTCAGATGCCCTGGGAACATTGGTATGTCTTAAGCTTATTGGTGGTCTTGCAAGCAATATTTTGTTACTCTTTTTTAAGCCATTGGTAGTCAATGATTTCTACTTTGTATATTTATGATCCATTTCGTAATGTTTACAAGTTAGAAAACAAACAATGACCTTGTTTGCAGCGTGTACATGCAGTTACTATGTTCTCTCTCCTAAGGGTAAGGCAGCTATGCCACTGGGTCCAGCGGACCATGAGGAAGACTGAAGAACCTTTAGATGACAGGAGCCTAAGAGAGGCTAAGGGCCAACTCAAGACAAAGCCCCTGGTTCTTGCCCAAATTACAAAGGCTTATGGGACAGTGGTTAGAAATCCCACCTCCACAACTGAGTCACTGGGTGATACTGACTTTTTTAACTGTAAGCATCAGTAAAGTGGGAACAAATGCAGTATGGATTTTGTAGTATTGTTTTGGGGATAAATGGGATTCTGTGCACATTTGAAGGTAAGGGGTACAAATCTGATAAGTAAGGGATCCGTCTCCAAGTCTTCAAATCTGCAAGTGGGAAGCTCCCCTGCAAGCATTTTTTTTTTTCATTTTCTTCTACATAGCACCAAGTACCTACCATGCGCTTGGCTACAGATTTTGTGAAGATAAAGTTTTAGTTATCTCAGATATCCCAAGAAGCACGACTGTCTCTATAGTGACCCAAATATCTAAATGTGTGTCCCTTAGTCTTATTGTTACTGTATAAGTAATATTCCTATTTTTAGTCATATATGTTCGTTACTAAAAGTCCTGTATGGAAAGGGTAATATGCTCTTTTTTTTTTTAAAGTTTTTATCGGTACCAGGGATCGAACTCACGACTGCCTGCTTGCAAGGCAGGCGCTTATGCCACTGAACTAAATCCCCAGCCCCTGAAAAGGGTAATGTTGAAAATGAAATCTCAACCCTCTAACACAGTTCCTTGGGATAATCTTAAGAACTTTTAAAAATTCTGTCAATCAGATGGTATATATCTTTCCTACCTTTTGTTAAACACCACACTATACCATATTTCTTTTATAACTTGTTTTTTTCTCCTAGGCATAAGTCTCGGGCATTTTCATGAAGTGCATGCATAAAAATTTACTCCTTCTTTTCTAAGGGTTAACACGCTGAAAATCTCTTGAAATAGTTTATAAACACATCAAAAAGAGAGGAGTAAACAAGAGAGTAAAAACTGAAAAATAAAAATCTCTCAAGTCACAATCCCAGTCCCTTTCGATAGCTACTTGTTTTGATAAACTTTTCTGTATTTTTTGGTAAGCTGTTCAGTGAAAGTATTAGATGCACACAGGGAAAAGTACATGGATGGGGCTGGGGATTTAGCTCAGCGGCATAAGCGCCTGCCTTGCAAGCAGGCAGTCGTGAGTTCGATCCCTGGTACCGATAAAAATGAAAAAGACCAAAATAAATAAATTTTAAAAAAGAAAAGAACACGGATCGTAGGTGGACCAGTGTATTTTCACAAAGGAAAAACACCCAGTGATTAGCACCAAGACCAACATTACCAGCACCCCCAAAATGTCATTTACCTCTCACCTGTTTCTCATCATTTATTTTTTAAATAATAAAGTTGGTGTTAGACCAACAGACAGAGCATATGAGAAGTGTGAATATCATCTACCCAGAATAAAATGAAAGCTTTAGCCCTGGACACAGCCAGAAGGGTATTTTTTGTTTTGTTTTATTTTTAATTTTTTATTATTTTGAAGATAGTA